TATTGCCTTGGTATCTAAGGAGAGTAGGGTCACACTTAAAGCAGTAAAGAGCTGTGATGGGAATCTCTCACTGCCTTTAATTATGCCATATCTAATAGATATTTGGTGGACTGTTTGGTATTAATATTAACATCACTTGGCTAACCTCACAGACTCATGGAATTAGAGAGTGAAGGAAAGACTTTTTGACATTCCTCAGACAGGACGGCAAAAGGGAGTTTGAGCTTCCCAAAGTGACTGAGTTATTTGTAGAAGGATTCCCCTTATTCTCATGCTGTAAGCATGTAAATCTCCTCTCAAAATTGGCCCATTGTGAACCCTTTCAGTGTAACTTAGCCTGTAGGTAAAAAACTATAGTCTACCTATAGAGTTTTTTTTTTAAAACTAGGTTTTTTTCCTTGGAGGATATATGAGATTATGACTCTATTTAACTAAGTTTGCTCAACTTTTATGATATTGGAGGAAGTGTGCGATTATAAATCTGTCTTTTTTAATGACAGACTCTCTCTCAGACATTTAGTAGCTGTATGACCCTGGGCAAGTTGCTTTACCTCTGTTTACCTCAGTTTCCTGATATGTGAAATGAGGATAATACTAGCACCTACATCTCCAGGGTTGTTGTGAGGATCAAATGAGATAATAATTGTAAAGCAATTAGCACAGTGCTGAGTACTGTGGTAGCAGTAGACAGGTAGTAGACACTCTATAAATGTTAGCTATCATTATTATTATTATTATTATTATTATTGTTCTGAGCACAGTGTCTGACACCTAGTAACCATATATAAACGTTAGCTATTATTATTATAGTTCTTAGCACAGTGCCTGACACATAGCAGGTGCATGTAAATGTTGGATTATTTCTCTGTCTCTCTGACAAAATTTTCTCTATTAAAGCTTTTCAGATACTACAATTCTGGCTCGAGATTATTATTATTTTTTTGAGTCCTGAACCTGTGCTTACACATCATAAAATCTAGGTTTTTACCTCTATAATTTCTGGGTGGTGACAGACTTATTTCAGGTGCTGTAATCTACTACAGGAATCCAAGGAGGAAATATTTCTCCTGTAACAGACCATTCACCCTACCAAGTTTGCTTCAGAATATTTGCCAGTGGATGAATTGCTCCCACTTGGCCGAGTGAAACAGCTCCCTTGACATTCGGTTCCTCACTGTCTGGGCATGGATTCTAGCTCCCATACTGCTAGGGGCTCACAATTCTGATCTTTTGAAGTTGACAGCTGTTCCCCATACTCCACCTATAAGAGGGCAGAACAAACACAAAGAGAAAAAGAACATATTATTATATGTTACTATATCTATATGTCATATTATGTATGAGCTATCCCAAGGCCATAGCCTCCCAAGAGGAAGGCTGGGAACCGTCTCCCTGTATAGTATTGTGTCTCTCACTCAGATGGAAGCCAAAAAGCCTTCTTTCAACTTGAAAACTAGAGCTAGTGACAAAATGTCTATGCAAGCTCCAAACTGGGGAGCAGCTAGGTGCAGCACTGGGCCTGGAGTCAGAAAGACCCAAGTTCAAATCCAGCTTCAGACACTTTCTAGCTGTATGACCCTGGGCAAGTCACTTGACTTGACTGATGTCTGCCTCATTTTCTTCAACTACAATGTAGGGATAACAACAGCAGGGCTGTTATGGGGATCCAATAAAATCATATTTGTAAAATTCTTGGCACACGGTAGGCACCTAACAGATGCTGCCTTCCTTCCATTCCATGTCATCATGCCTTTCTGGAAGCAGGATTCCCCAGGTTCTTCCAAGTGGGGATTGATATCAACAACTTCTCCAGGTTCCCTACCCCTGTTTGAGAAACCAGGAGTGTTTTTTTAAGGGGATAAGGTGGGGAGGGAAGTGTACTAGTAGAAAAAAAATCTCGTCATGTCTTCAGCTGTTTCATGCTTGGTATTTTGACAAGTGTGGAAACAATGGGGTTGTTTCATATGTGTAAGATCATCAGTATTTTTGTTTTAAGGCCTTTAATAGCTATTTCCTCCCATTCTCTTTCAGGAGTCCTTGAGCTTGAGGGTTCTAGTAATATTTCCATATTTCCTTCTGCAAATTAAAATTGGTTGTCCATTGTTCATTGGGGATCATTGGCCCTTGGGACTCTTAAGTCTTTTCAAATGTGTGATTTTGTCCCAGTCTAAGCTTCTCTCTATTGACCATTGTGTGTATACATGTATGTCTGGGGCAAGGGGAGGTAATCATATGTGAAAAAGATCCATTTATCCCATAGCTGGCATACCAAGATGTCTTTCTTTCCTCTGGAAAAACATCTCCTTCATCTCAGCTTCTATGATTCATTTCACACAGGCTTATATTTCACACTAGGGGACAAAAGAAGACTAATGAAAGTGCTTATGTTGTCTAGAGTTGTCTTCTGTTGTCTCAGAGACACATCCTGTCTAGAGGAGGAGAAGTTGATTTTTAACATTTTTTTTGAGTTCTAAATTTTCTTCTTCCCTCCCTTCCCCCACCCACTGAGAAGGCAAGCAGTATGTTATCAATTATACATGTGAAATTATGCACAACGCATTTCAGTATCATCCATGTTACAAAAGAAAAAAAAATGAGCCAGAAACAAAGAATGTGGGAAAAAGTCTCTTTTGATCTGCGCTCCGAGTTCATCCGCTCTCTCTCTGGAGGTGGATGACATTTTTCATCATGGGTCCTTTGGAATTGTCTTAGATCATTGCCTTGATCAATGTAGCCAAGTCTTTCACAGCTGATTATTGTTAAAATGTTTCAGTCACTGAGTACCGTGTCCTGGTTCTGCTCACTTCACTTTGCATCAGTTTATAGTCTTCCCAGGTTTTTCTGCAATCAGAGGAGTAAAGTTCTGCTCCATCTTGACCCCAGAGACATTTAGTCTCAGACCATGTCTTTCTCTGTCTCTTATAATAATAAGGAAGTAAGAAAAAGAACAATTCTGTGTCTATTGGGTCACGAGTCCAGGCCCCCTTGCTACCAAGGCAGGTCCAATCAAGTTTGCTGGCAGCTTGGGGTAGCTGATATTGACCAAGTCCCAGATATGGTCAGTGGCTCATAGACTAAAAGGACATATTTTGGGTTAGTCTCTCTCTACTGTAAGAAATAACTCAATTCATACTGGGCTAGAGATACCCTGGAACTATTTGTATCAAAAGCCAATCCACACAGAGTTAGGATAGGTAGAAAAGAGGGAAAGGGAAATCCTTCTATGATTATTCTTCAATCTACTTCAATCTACTTACCTTTTGGTAAGAGGACACAGTGTTCTTAGCACTAAGACCTTCTTCTCTAACCTAATCAGAGAGCTGGCACATTTAACATTCAAAGGTCAGTTGACATAAACCTAAGTGAGAACCTGACAGGTACACAAAGTTTCTTCACTAAAACCCTAATAGAAATGGGGGGACAGTTAAATTTTATTTTATATTTTATTCTGAATTTAATAAACACCAAATAAAACAAACACTTTTATATATGAAGCAGATTTTTAAAAAATAGGATGATGCAAAGGGAAAAGGACCTATTTGTACAAAAAAAACATTTTTGTGGTAGCCAAGAACTGGAAATTAAGAGGATGCCCATCAATTGAAGAATGGCTGAACAAGCTGTGGTATGTAATTGTGATGGAATAGCATAGTGCTAAAAGAAATGACAAGCAGGACGATTTCATAAAAACCTGGAAAAACTTACATGAACTGATGCAGAGTGAAGTGAGCAGAACCAGGAGAATATTGTACACAGTAGAAGCAATATTGTGTGATGATCAACTGTGAATGACTTAGCTCTTCTCAGCAGTACAGTGATCCGAGTTAACTTGTCCAGGGACACCTGGGGACCCAACCAGCCAGAGTGAGGGCAAGTTGGGGATGATGCTGCATCAGGATCACCTGTGCAGAAATACAAAGCAGAAGGAAATGAATCATTTATTCAAGGCTCATAAGTGTCAGGCAATGTGCAAAGTTCTTTACAAATATTATCGCATTTAATTCTCACAACAGTAGGTAAGCACCCATTTTACTGTGGAGAAAACAGAGGGCAAGTACCTTGCCCAGGATCACAAGCTAGACTGTGTCTGAGGGTCACATTTGAACCCAGGTCTTCCTGACTCAACAACCAGTGTTCCATGCACCGTGACACCAGCTACCTGAATTAAGGAGAGCTCTGAGGAATGCACATAATTTGATAGCTTTTACAGATTTCCAAGAGTAATCTGGGTGGTTATTTCTGATTTAACTCCTAATCCTAAGAAGCCACAGATCCCAACAGAATTGCTTATCTCCAGGAAGCCAGCTCAAAGACCCTATTGTAGTGTGAACCAAACAGGATGTCTCTCCGAGAGGGAGTGAGAGAGGGAGGGCTGGGAGTGGGGGTGGGGGGTGAAAATCTAGGCAATGTAAAAAACAGAAGATTTCACTAAAAGCTATTTTAGAGAATAAAACAGGGTGAAACTGTAAGTGCAAATATAAATGTAAAGGAAGATATATAATATATATGTAAGGGTAGATAAATAATTATATAGGTAAAGGTAGACATATAATTATATATATGTCAAGGTAAATATAGAATTATATATTTAAGGGTATAGGAATGAGTATAAGGTTAGACATATGATTATATATGTAGAAGGATAGACATAATTATATATGTAAAGGTAGACTAAATAAACGTATAGGTAAGAGTGGACATAATTTTGTATGTGTGTGTGTGTGTGTGTGTGTGTGTGTGTGTGTGTGTGTTTGTATGGGTAATTATAGTATTTGTGTAAGGATGGATATATAATTTATATGACCTCAAAAGGCCCAGACACCTAATTGAATCAGCTGACCAACCAATAGAAAGTATAAACTTCTTTCCCTTCCTTACCCCTCCCCCCCTCCCCTCCCTCTCCCCCAGCAACCAACCTACTGGAGGGTCCTCCAACGTCAGGTATTGGACTGGCAGTCAGGAACACGCCAGAGTTGAATCTTGTCTCTGATACTTTCTAGCGCGATGACCCCACGAGAACGACCTCACCTCTGAGTCTCAGCTTCTTCTGTACTACCGGGGAAATGATAACACCAAAGGAATCTGTCAGAGAACTTTGCAAACCTTCAAGCCTTACAGAAAGGCAGCCGCGATTCGGAGTCCGTTCCCCAAAGGGACTGAATGCGCCCATCAACCGGTATTGTTACTCGGCGAGTCTGTCCTAAGGGCCCAAAAGTAGCACTCGCTCCCACCAGCACTGCTTGTCCAGCTGGCCACAGGTGTCATTTTGCGCACAGAGACCAATCGAGTCTCCGGGGACACCGGCGCTTGGACCTAAGATGGCATTCGGTCGGCCTCGGCAAGTCAGAACTGGAGGAGAAGGGAGCAGAGGAGCAAAAGGAGTCAGAAAGGGGTTTATCTCTTAGAGACTCCTCCCACGAGATGAGGGGGGTGTCGAGTTGAGAAGAAAATGTTTTAAGTGTTTAGAGATCCTGAGGCGATGGGGATGGGAGCAAGAAGGTTTGGATGAGGAAAATAGCCCCCTGTGGCTGCCCCTCTGCTTTTCAGAGACTTTTTTGCCCCACTGGGCTGGGTTCTAGAAGCCACGCCCTCTATATTCATTCTCCCACCCCCACCACCCGTCCTGGACACCTTCTAGAAGGCTTGCACAAGGGACCTGGCAGTGACGGGACTCCTCCCGCCAACACTGCTCCCTCGTGCTCAGTGACCAGCACAGGGACCCAGGTGTCCTGGCCCCCGGCCTCCTTGGGTTCAGGGAGCCCCTGCCTTGGGTACCGAGCTGCGTGTGTTAACTGTCACTGCTTCGAGACCCAGAACCAAGCCTACCCTCACTCCACCAGGTGCCACAGGGGTGAGGTGCAGGTCAAAACAGTCCTAGGAGGGGAGGGCCTCAGTTCTAGATTTGGGAGGTCGTCTAGGGGACTGGGGGACTGCTCTCAGGTTCTAGGTCAGGGCTCTGGGATTTCTCAGAGGGGAGGTCCTTAGTTCTTGGTCTGGGGTCTACATGGGAGGGAGTAGTTGCTCTTAGGTTCTAGGTCTATATCATCCTGGGGACTGGGGATATGGATCCTAAGTTCTAGAGTTCAGGGTTCTTGAATTTTAGGACTGTATTCTGAGCTATGTGGGGTGGTTGGGTTCTAGGTCAGTGTTTCAGAGTTCTAGAGGAACTCTGCAGGTTCAGTTTCTAAGTGTTTGTAGTTGAGGTAGTTCCCCCCAGATTCTGGAGGCAACTTGTAGTTTCTGGGTCTAAGTTCTAGATCCTGATAGATGGGAATGGTCTCGGTTCTGAGCTCCCTTTGAGAGCCTTTGGGATTGAAGCGGGCAGACGGGCATGAGAGAGGGAGCTGAGTTGGAAGCCACAGGACCTGGGTTAGACTCTTGGCTCTGCTCTTTCCCAGTTAACAGACGGAGGGGCTGGACTCAGTAATCTCTGCACCATGCCTGCCTAGGGCTGGTGGGAGATGGGGTCCGCAGTGTGAGTTCTCCACAGCTCTTCCCCTGCTTCCTGCTTTCTGGGCAGCTGGCCCTTCCTCTAAGGGAGGACCTGTGCTTTGGGCCTCTGGCTGTGTCCCCCTCAGCCCTTGGTCGTAGGATGGAGGCTGAGAAAGGTACTCCAAAGGCAGCACACAGCTTAAAGGTGAGGTACAGCGAGGTGGATCAGCTGGTCTGGAGCAGTAAGATGGAGTACGTCATGGCACAGGTGGGCTTCGGTGTGGGATTGGGTGCCGTCTGGAGGTTTCCTTCTTTGTACCACCAGAATGGAGGCGGTGAGCTGAGGGTCTGAATGCCTGGGTCTTAAAGGGACTGTGTATGCGAGGGCTGAGGGAAGCGTGCCTGGTTCCCTGAGGGGCAGAGCTGGGGCAGGGTCACCCAAGTCCCTGAAGAGAAGGGGCCAGAAGGGCTGAGAAGAGAGCCCCCTGGGACCCCTGGGGAAGGCTGAGGGAGGAGATGCTGGAGTCCCTGAAGAGCAAAGACTTGGGGAGAAAGGAAGCCGAGGGAAGAGCTGCATGCCTGCTTCTCCTCTGTCTCTCTGCACCCCCCAGGTGCCTTCCTTCTACTCTATGTGCTGCTGCTTTTCACCCTGGGCATCCCCTTGGTGTTCATGGAGATGGCTTTGGGGCAGAAGGTGCGCATTGGCGTCTGGACAAAGATCCACCCCCAGCTGTGGGGCATGGGCCTGGCCTGCAGCCTGGTGAGGTTGGGGGCCCCTCGGTGCTGCCAGCTCTCGGGGGGGGGGGTGGCCCAAGAGCCCAGTCTGGCTGAGCGTCTGCCCCACTTCTGCAGGTATGCTTCTTGGTGAGTGTCTCTTATAACATGTTCATTGCTTGGAGCATCTTCTACCTCAGCAACTCCTTCCAGTACCCACTGCCCTGGAACCAGTGCCCAGCGTCGATGAACACTAGCATCCCTGGTGAGCTGCCAGTGGGGGGCTGGGGCTGGGGGACCCTGCCCTGCCTCTCCCTTCCTTCCTGAGTCACGTCATTCCTGTCCTGGCTCCCCAGATCCTGAGTGTGCCCGCACCAGCCCATCCATTTATTTCTGGTACTCGCAGACCCTGGAAGTCACAAGCAGCATTGACAATAGCGGGGGCATTGTCTGGAGCCTCTCAGTCTGCCTCTTAGTGGTTTGGCTCTTAATCATATTCATCTCAATACGGGGCAGGAAGACAAAAGGGAAGGTGAGGGGCTGGTGACTGGGAATCTTGCAAACTCTGACCCCTGACCCCAGTGACCCCTGGTTCAACCTCTGACCCCGCCTGCCACCCTCCAGATGCTGTACCTCTCCATGATGGTCCCCTACGCCATCCTGTCCTGCCTCCTCATCCAAAGCTACATGCTGGAAGGTTCCATTTATGGGCTGCGTCACTTGGTGACCACCAAGGTGAGAGACCCCAGGCTCTTGGAGCCTCAGTTTTCCCTCTCTGTACAACGGGATGATAACACCCATCCTCTATCTGTGAGTCATACAGGAGGGAGAGCTCTCTGTGTCGGCTACACTTGGGATGATTGCTCTAAAATCCCCTCTCCAGGGTCCCTCCACCCTGTCCAGCTTCCTCCTGGGGAGACTGTGGCCAGGCTGTCCCTGTGGGTCCATGGTTCAGCCAGCCCGTGCTCCAGCTCTGGCCGTGCCAGGGGGCATCTCCTGCCCCTCCGTCCCCTCTGCAGATATCAGCCATGGTCTCTCCGCTCCTGTGGAAGCAAGCAGGAATGCAGGTGTTCTACAACATGGGCCTGGGCTTTGGCAGCAGCGTCATCTTGTCCTCGTATGCCGACAAGAGTAAGAGCTGTGTCCAGGACGTGTTCATCGTGGTGCTCTTTAACCTGGCCTTTTGCCTCATGGCCTCTCAGGTGGTGTTCAATGTGCTGGGTTTCCGGGCCACCATAACCACACGGGAATGCAGCTACCGGTGAGTGCCTGCCCGAGGGAGGGGAGGCAGGCCTCTGCTGGCTCTGACTTTCTCTGTTCTGTGGGGGGGCCCCCAACCCCCGGCAAGGCTAGCGATCCTGCTAGCCCAAAGCGGTATGAGCTCTCGGCCCAGGACATAAGTGTCTTTCTGGTGGAGGGTGGAGCAGAGGACAGTCTGATGAGCCATAATCTTACCAGGACACTGGGTTTTCTGTCCTGGAGAGAATCTACCCCCATGCCAAGGGGAGGGGAACCACAGGAGCCAGGGAGCTCCAGGTGGCCCCCTCTTGTTTCTGCCTTCCGGTTCTCCACCTCATCCCTCCCCTCCCCCCCAGCCCCTGTCCTGACATTCTTTCCAGCCAGGGTCAGGGTTGCTGAGATGCCTGCTGCAGGCCCCCTAGCTCTGCTGGTCTGGGGCCCTTACTGAAGAAGGAGGGAATGGAGGAAGAGCCAGACAGTGACCACATCCCACCGCCCTAAACCAGGAGCTCCTGGGGGCTGCAGCAGCTGATCAAAATGGGGAAGCTACCCCAAGAGGCAAGTCCGCCCCAAGAGCTGTTGAAGAAGTCGATCAAAGCGTACACCATGTGGTTAAATAAGTTTGACAGTGATCTGAGGAAGAAGATTCTGGAGCACGTGTCCGATTACCGCTTGGAGGAGCAGTTCATGCATGTCGGTGTGGCAGGGCCCGGGCGGTGGGGGGGGGAGGGCATTCCTGGGGGGCAGGGTTGGGACTTCTCAAAGTGCCCTCTCACTGAACTCATTCAGACCCAGGTTGGGGAGCCAGCCGGCTCCCATTCATGCTGGGCATCCCCCCACCTCTCACCACCCACAGTACACAGGAGGCCCTGGCCTGGTCTTCATGGCCTTCGCTGAAGCCATAGCCAAGTTCCCAGGCTCTTCCCTCTGGTCTATCGTCTTCTTCCTGATGCTGATCAACCTGGGACTGAACACTTCACTACGACTGATGCAGGGCATCCTGATCCCGCTGCAGCACAACTTCCCCCGCCTTCAAAACTTGTCTTTGATCCTCTGCGGTAGGTGCTGCCTAACCCTTGACCCTTGACCTAGGACCACGGTTCTGTCCAATCCTCCGAGCATCGATGAAGCCCCTGCCCTGTGCCAGGAAGTCTCTGTGCTAAGCCACTGGGGAAACAAGGCCAACACAGAAGCATCCCTGCCCTCAAGGAGCTTACATTCTACCAGGGAAACCAGGTGCAAACAGAGGAGTGAGAGAGGAGAGGGCTCAGGCAGGGCTGCCAGTGGGAGGCCCCTTAGCAGAGCCCGGAAGGAAGCCAGAGCGCACCAGGCATGCAAAGGCAGGGACTCTGAGCAAACAGACAGGCTTGGCTGAGACAGAGAGTGAGGTGAGGGGAGTAGCATGGAACAGGTGTGCAAAGGGCTGGGTGCTAGAGGGATTTCAGCACCTGGCTGAGGACTCGGCATGTTGGAGGCATCAGGTTTGATCCAATTGTCACATACCTGAGAACCAGTAGGGCGTTTCAGAGGTTTTGGAGCAAGGGAATGCTGTGGTCAGGCCTGGGCTTTAGGAGAATTACTTAGGCGGCTGGGTGAGGGTGGATTGGAGGATGTTTGAGACAAGGACATCAAGGGAGGGACAGAGAGAGAGAGAGAGAGAAGAGAGAGAGAGAGAGAGAGAGAGAGAGAGAGAGAGAGAGAGAGAGAGGGAAGGAGAGAGAGAGAGATTGAAGGGGAGGGAGGAAGGGAGAGAGAGAGAGAGAAGAGGGAGGGAGAGAGAGAGAGAGGGAGAGAGAAGAGAAAGGGAGGGAAAGATTGAAAGGGAGGGAGAGAGAGATTGAGAGAAAGGGGGAGGGAATGGGGGGAGGGAGGGGGAGGGAACGAGAGAGACAGAGAAAGGGGAGGAGGAGGAAGGGAGAAAGAGGAGGAAGGAGAGAGGAGGAGGAAGAGGAGAGGAGGAGAGAGAGAGAGGAGGAGGGGGTGAAAGAGAGAGAGATTGAAAGGGAGGGAGAGAGAGAGTGTGTGTGTGGGTGTGAGAGAGTGAGTTTAATGGAGGAAGAGGCCTGGGGCAGAGCCTTAGGAATCCCTCACACTTAGACAGCAGCATATGGAGGATAGTCTGGCAAAAGAGACTGAGGGACAGCCAGATGAATAGGCAAGTTCCTCTTAATGAGTAGCTACAAAGCTAGCGGTCACAAGGCATTTGGGCCATGCCAGGAACCTGCCTGTGAACCTGTAGGTTGGTGGCCGTGACCTCCTATTCTAAGGGTAAGACTGGGAGTAGCTACTTCTACTACTGTAACCCACAAGCTCCCACTAGTGTGCTCTCCTTTGACAAGTGTTCAAGAGATTCAACAGGCTCTTATCAAAAGTATTTATTCCAATGCTGCAGCAAACATTCCTCCCATCAAACCTGGGGCACGCTCTCCCACAAATACACAGAGCCCATGGGAGGGAATGGGCACAAACTTAAAAGTAGTGGTTTTGAGGTACAAGTGGCCAAGATGAGTCATAACTCTGGCATTGATTTGAAATGATCGGGCATAACTGATGGCATTGAACTCTGGCTGCAATGATTTCCTCTGGGTGTGATGGGCGGTCTCGCCACGGCTGGGCTAGCCCCAAATGGGAGATCCCCATAACATGGAGCTAAAACTTCTGCCCCCCAGGGTACAGTAGCTCTGCTGACTGGGTGCATCTGCTAGACTCCAGGGGCTGAATCTTCAAATGGGCCATGGTAGCTACTGTGCTCTTTGAACTGGGAGGCAGAGAACCTTGGCTTCATATTTGCAGAAGTTTCTGTTATTCTGTGCCCTTGGAGCTGAAGTCCTGGACTTTGTCAGCTCCCTGGCAGAAGGTGGAAAAGATACAGCTTCTCTGTTTGCCAACTCTCTCTGGTTCAGGGCTGGTTTCCCTTGGTGAAGGATCTCATCCTAACATATGGTGACCATCTTGGAAATTTCCCAAATCTTCATCTTTGCAGGCTAGGCCATAACCAGACAATGACCTTTAGCCCATTAACCAACCAACGTACTCTGGGGGTTCAGGATTTCTTGGGTCTTTAAAACTTTGAGCATTAGATAGAGCTTTGGGCCTGGAGTTAGGAAGATCTGTGTTCAAATCCTGCCTCAGACACTTCCTAGCTGTGTGATCTTGGGCAAGTCCCTTAGCTACTCTCAGCCTCAGGGTCCTCATCTATAAAATGGGGATAAATAACATCATTCCTCTCAGGATTGTTGGGAGAATCAAATGAGATAATATTCATAAAGCAGCTGCGTAAAATGCTAGCTTTTATATGCAAATGAGTCCAAGCCTCAGATACTTTATAAATAGAAGAATGATTCAATCCCACCTGAAAGGGATTGAGCTTTATCTTGTCTCTGTCCTTGCTGTGTGTCCTTCAGCTTCTGTGAAGTCTAAAAGAGACTTCTTGCTGTTGTTATTCAGTCATGTCTGACTCTTCATGACCCCATTTGGGGATTTTCTTGGCGAAGATTCTGGAATGGTTTGCCATTTCCTTCTCCACATGAGGAAACTGAGGCAAACACGGTTAGGTGACTTGCCCAGGGTAACACGCCTAGTAAGTGTGTGAGGCTGGATTTGAACTCACGAAGATAAGTCTTTGTCAGTGCTCTATCTACTAGGCTACTTAGGTGCACATCCCCCAAAGGGAGCCTTCGGAGTCAAGATGGAGGAGCACTGAGGAAAGCAGCTTGTTTGGAACTTTGGAGAGGATAGGGTTGAGAGCCTGAATCCTTGGGGGCGAGGAAGGTCACTAAATCATCAGAGGTTGGATTGAAGGAGGAGAGGGTGGGGACGATGTCAGACAGCTTTGAGATGTGATCGGGAGAGGAGGTGGCTCATGGCCCGAGTCTCTGTTTTGTCAGTAAGGTTCTTCGCTGAGGTTCTGGGTGGGGAATGAGGTTCTATGGGATTCTGGAGAGAAGTTTGGGAGCAGAGCCTCTGCCAGGGTGGAGGAGCATAGAAGAGAGTCAGGAAAGAATTTAAAAATTGGTGAGCAGTCCTGAGAGCCCTGCTGTCCAGTCTCATTCCCCTGACCCTTTCCTAACTGGAGACCAACTTGGTTAACACTCTGACACCCGACTGCCTCCTGCCCCCATCCTACCTCATGTTATGCCCATGCATCTTTGACCTCTGATCTCTGACCTGCCGCTGTCCCATCCTGACACGGCTTCCCCTTGCCCATCAGTGACCGTTGGCTGCCTGGGCTTCCTGTGCAGCCTCCTCTTCACTCAGCGCTCCGGGCTCTACTTCCTGACCATATTCAATGAATTTGCTATCAGCCTGCCTCTGTGTATCGTGGTCCTCTTGGAGAACATTGGTGTGACCTGGATCTATGGGGCTAAGAGGTGACTGGGAACCATGATTCCCCAGGCACACTGAGGGAGCTACGGAGGGAGAAGGTGTGGGGAGACCTAGAGAGAGCCAAAGAGACCAAGGGACATCCTGGGAAACAAAAGGAGATTCTGGTAAACAGAGAGAGAACCAGGGGCACCAGGAACACCAAGGGAGGTGTCATGAAAAACAGAGAAATCTGGGAAGAGTCAGACCTTCTGGGACAGTGGGAAAGCCAGAGAGAAGCCAAGGAGAGCTAGATCGATCCTGTGGGAAGTGGGGGGCCAGAGAACTCCAGGGAGAGTGGGGGGATCTGGGGAGAGGAGGAAGCCAGGGGAGCTAGGGCTGGCCTCCTCCCCCAGGGGTTAGGAGTCCCCCTCTCAGCACCCTGTGCATGGCCACCAACAGATTGATAAATGAAACATGGGCCATGCTGGGGCTCAGCGTCTCACTCATGCATGAGTGCCTGCTGCTCTACTTCACCTTGCTGATTCTACTGATCCTTCTCCTATGCAACCTGTGGGAGGTGATTCTGGTGTACCCCACCTATGGAGCCTGGGATATGAGCACTGTGAGCTGCTGAGGGCTCCCCACCCCCCTGACCCTCAGGCACCCAGGCGGGAGCTCCCCCTTCCAAGGACCCATGCCTCACCTCCCCCAGGGCCAGGCATGCTCTCTCCCCATCCCTCCCTTCTTCCCAGAAATCTCCCTTTGTGAGCCTCCATTCAGGCACAGTGTCTCCAGGCTTCAATCTTGACCCCCCAGCACTCTGAGTGATCTTGTCCGCCTTTGTCTTCACAGGCCACAGAGTCAACGCTTCCCTACCCGCTGTGGGCTGTGGTCCTGGGGAGTGGCCTCATCTTGCTGCCCCTCCTGCCCATCCTGGTGGGTCTGTTAAAGTGTTCAAAGAGGCCAGTCATATTGCCACAGCCTAAGGGTTCCTCTCCCCAGCTTCTGCTGACTTCCTCCCCAACCTCGTCCCTGACCGTGTCCCAGGATCAGCAAGCAGCCTCCTTCAGGAAGGCCTCAAGGCTTTCTGAGGCCCAGGCTGCAGAGGCCGAAGAGGAGGCCAGTGGGCCAGTGGGCCAGCCCAGCCTCTTAGCTCCCTCAAAATCCATGGGAACTGCTATTGGGCATGCTAAGAGAAGGGACTCCAGGTCAGAAGCTCTGCCTGAAAGGTCCACTCCAGACCCTCCTTCCCCCTCCTCATAGGGCTAGAGAATCCTCATGATGGTCAGCAGCAGCCCCCAGCTACACAAGAGCCCTTTACCAGCTAGGGGTCCTCTAGCCTCTTTCTAAAACCCTCCAGTGAGTGGGTACCCTCATGTACCTCTTGTGGCAGCCCATCCCCTCTCTTTGGGAGGAAGTTTTTCCTGAAGTTACGCCTTTTCTGGCCTCTGAGACATGTCACCTTGGCTTCTGGGGACAAGCAGAAGGAGATGCCCATCCTCCATATGCCCTTCAAGCACTGGAAGATGGCACCCTGGTTTCCACTGCCTCCCCCACTGCCTCACTAAGTTTTTTCCAAGCTGACTGCCCAGTTTTCAGTAGATTTGCCATTCTGGTTATCCTCCTCTGGACAGCTCACTCCCCAGCTTATTAATGTCATTTTTAAAGGGGCCCAGAACTGAACAAAATACTCTGGAGGGGGCCTGACAGAGGTAGAGCATGTGTTGGTTATTCTACACAACTTCAGATAACATGAGCTCCGTTGGTTGATATGTTACACTGTGGATGCACGAGGAACTTGTGGTCCACTAAGATTCTCAGCTCTTTTTCAGATGAATGCCTATCTGCTCATTTCCTCTATTTTGCATTCATGAAATCAATTCACCTAGGTGTAAGGCTTTTCCTTCTTATTAAATGTTATTAAATTAACTGAGACCAATGCGTGACTTGATCATCCTAAGTCAAAGTATTCAGGAATAGGAGCTAATGATGCCATTCTTTCTCTCAAGGGACAAAACTGTATACCTTAGTAATGCCATCCATTCCCCCAAGTCAGTAAGTCAGCAGATGATCAGTTACTCCTTTCCTGAAGAACTAAATTTGCTTAGTAACCAGTGATATCACCCATTCCTCCAAGGACTGGATCTGCCCCATGACCAGTAATGGCAATTGATCTGAGGGATCTCAGATATTGCCTCTCTCCACAAGGACCAGATGTGACATCAGCAACTCTCCCATAAGAGTTAATCTGCCTACTGACCAGGGACATCATGTACTCCTTCAGGGAATGGTGATGAGTATTGTCACCCTCTTAGAGGATCTCATGAAAGACCGCAGAGCCACAAAATCACAGAGTTGAAGAAACCCCAGAAGCCACAAAATGATACTTGTATCCAGCCTCTCATCATGTGTTCCACCATCAGAGCCATGACTTGATCACTTCCATCCTCTATCTAGTTTCAATACCCCACCTGTTGCTTAACAACCTGCCTTCATTAGACTGACATAGCTGGGTAGGAATTGTCATGCAAGTCCTAGGGGGCAGGACTACCAAAAGACCATGGCTTTCATTTGGCCAGGGATATACTCCTCCCTTGTATTCCCCCCCCTCCCAGCAAAGAATTTGCAGTCCCTACAAATCACCCCGGGTACATTACATAGATACATTTATAAAAATATACATTCATCAATTAGCACATAGTGTAAATCAAAATCATTGCAACTACACAGTAGGCCTGTAGGGACGCTTCTGGCCAGAAGCGTCTAAATCCTCTGGACTTTCTCTGTAATAAATTTTCTTGATACTAAAAAAAGAAAGAAAGAAAGAAAGAAATGAATATGACAGACTTATGGTCCGTGCAGAAGCATGATGCAAAACAGATAAAATCACCTATAGCATGTGCCTTACTTGTGTAGACCAAATGCATTGGACAGATGACAGAGACACACTTAACATGGAGCTTTCAGGTTTTCTGAATGCTTTATAGAAGGAAGATTCTCCTCCCCACGAGGACCCATACAGTCCTAGAGAGCCCAGAATGTAGTCACAAAATGTAGACAATCAGGCATTTTCCTACAACCCCCCCCCCCAAGAGTCCTTCAGAGGATTATGGGCAGTTGGCATTAACCAGGAAGCATCTTGTGGTCGGTCTACAATCATGTCCCTGGCACAGAGTTCCTTCTGTCATCTCCCAGCCCTAGATGCCATGAAAAGGGCTGTCCAATGAGCTAGAGAACAAACATTTTTTTAAAACACTTGCTATGTGCCAGCCACTGTGCTAAGTGGTTTGTAGTGGTTTATCTTATTTGATTTGAAGGCATATAGTACTTGGCACATGGTACATGGTAAGTGCTTAATAAATACCCATCATTGGTGGTCTTCATACAAAGTCTGTGTGATCATTTTCTGGGTTCACTGAAGAGGGCATTCTAGTACAGATAATGGGGAATTGGATGGCCATCGGGATCCTTTCCAATTCTGTCATTCTTAACGTGGCCAAAGAGCCCACCAGCATTTTTGCCTGCCTTCTTATGCAATTGACTCATATCGAATTTTTAGTCATTAACCATATTTTGGGGGGTGGGGGATGTTGTTGTAGGACTGTTCTCCTTTCCAGGAGCACCCGCCTCACATTGCCACCAACGCCAAAAGGTAGGAAGATTCAACAGTCTACCAAGTGAGTGCACCTCCTAGGGATCAGATATTCAGATACTGCTGGTGTAAACCGCCAGATGAACTTCCGAGCTCAAACTTCACCAGCTTCCAAGTCCTTTTCTTTGGGCATGGCAAAAGGCCCAAGCCTTTTTTCTTCTGCTGAAGTATAAGTCTAGAGCATGGATATAGAAAATGTAACTCATTTGACTCAATTTACCCCCACCCTATTTGAGATTTTGATCTCCTTCCTAATTTGGCCTGACCAGAAAGTATTGCCCACACACATTATAGATTAGATAACATTTACTGAAAGGAATCAAAGTTAATAGGCCATTAAAACTCGCAAACACCAGAGCCACTGGCCTATGGCCAGGCATGGCCACAGTTTGAAGGGTAAAGAGAAGGAACTGTCTCACATCCATTCTGGGCTAACTCTATCTAGATCTCAGATCAGAAAGGTCTGTCTGGGCATGCTATTGTACATTAGCCATATCCCTACATTACACATAAAAGTGAAAAGGTTTTGCAGAAAATTAATGCATCCAAAAGGAAAAAGCATTCAATTGGAGAAAAAAATCTTCATATCAAATATGTTTGATAAAGGTCTTATGTTGAAAAGCATTCCTATATAGATATATGATCAAAGGATATTAAGTTTCCAAAAGATGAATTGAAATATATATAAATATGAAAGAATTATCTAAATCACTAAAAATAAGAGAAATGCACATCAAAACAACCTTAAAGTGTTGCTGCACACCCAAGAAATTGGCAAATATGATAATATGATAATAAACGATAGTACTAGTCAATGTTGGGGAGGGGATATGGCACAGGTGGGGAACTTGTAGCCTTGAGGCTACCTGTGGTCCTCTAGGTCCTCAAGTGCAGCCCTTTCACAGAATCCAAACTTCACAGAACAAATCCCCTTAATAAAAGGATTTGTTCTGCAAAACTTGGACTTGGTCAAAAGGCCCCACCCAAAGACCTAGAAGGCCACAATGTGGTCTAGAGCCTGAAGATTCCTGTGATAAGGAAACAGAGGCACACTAATGCTCTTTTAACATCAGTGAGTGCTGGTGCTTCATTCAGCTGAAGAGGGATAGGGTGAAGGTGGTCAATGACGGCCCTCATCCCCCTTTTCTAACTTTTTCCCTTGGATTCTGGAGACATAATCAGTTACAAAGTTACGATAACTTTGTACTGTACAATAGCTCATTTTAACTATAGCAATATGATGGACTATGAGGTCTATATAGTTTCCTCTGCTCCCTTAGGCAGTTTATATTAAGAGAAAAGTTAGGAGTAGTATCACAGTAGCTCAGAGCCCCCAGTCTAGCAAATTGCTCACATTTAGTCAGAGGTTTAGTTCTCTGCCCTAATTTTAACATTTTATACACGGTAGCCTATCTGCAGGAATATTGTATTAAATTCCTAGTTCCTTCTCTTTCAAGAATTTCCTTTTTGACATTTAAAAAGCATTGGAATTTTTTGTTTTAGCCACTGTTCTACAGTAATACCTATTCTGCCTTAAAGGACAGCACCAGCCCTGAAGTCAGGAGGACCTGAGTTCAAATCTGGCCTCAGCCCAAGCACTTGACAACTTACTAACTGTGTGACCCTGGGCAAGTCACTTAACCCCGATTGCTAAAGAAAGAAAGAAAGAAAGAAAGAAAGAAAGAAAGAAAGAAAGAAAGAAAGAAGAAAGAAAGAAAGAAAGAAGGAAGGAAGGAAGGAAGGAAGGAAGGAAGGAAGGAAGGAAGGAAGGAAGGAAGAAAGAAAGAAAGAAAGAAAGAAAGAAAGAAAGAAAGAAAGGAAGGAAGGAAGGAAGGAAGGAAGGAAGGAAGGAAGGAAGGAAGGAAGGAAGAAAGAAAGAAAGAAAGAAAGAAAGAAAGAAAGAAAGAAAGAAAGAAAGAAAGAAAGAAAGAAAGAAAGAAAGAAAGAAAGAAAGAAAGAAAGAAAGAAAGAAAAACCCTTCCCAGCAAAGGGAGTGGGAGCTTTGAAGTAGGAAGTGCTGCAATAGAATCCTTAGATCTGGACCTTCAGAGGTAGAAGGAACTTGAGGCCATCAGTCCAACCTTCTGATCTTACAAAGGAGGAAAGTGAGGCACAGAGGGTTACGCTAGTTATTGTCTGAGTCAGGATTTGAATCTAGCTCTTCCTGACTCCAACTGCAGTGCCCTGTCCACTACACCACGCTGCCAAAGGTCTGGAGACCGGAGACAGAATGGCCTGTGTGAAGGATAGCAAGTTGACCAGAGCCATGATTTGACGGGTTTTAAAGAGTTTGTATCTTATCCTAGAAGCAATGGAGACCCTCTGGAGCTCCTGTGCTTTAGGAAGCTTGGGCTGGCAGCTGCATGATCAAGAAAACACCAGAGATACGGTTTCCTGGAGTTCCAGCAAGAATCCCCACTGCTGTCCCTGTGGACTAGAGATGTGATGATCACAGAACCATGTGGCTTTGGATCCGTTGGACTGGCCTGATCCAAAATGGAGGCCGCAAAGATTTGTTGTCACCTTGGAGGGAAGTCCCCCTGGAATGGGAGAATCTAGGCTCAGCCCTGGTGACCTGGATAAAGGCAGAGTTTGCTGCAAAGCACATTTGTGCAGGACTCTCCTGTTTTGTGGCATTGACTCAAGTCTTCTTGTCTGCTCTTGGGCACAGTTGCTAGAGCTCTGGAAAAGAGAAATCCTGGTTTTCTGGCTGCCAGCTAGGAGAGAGTGGAGATGTTGTTCCAGATCCCCTTCAGGGCCCTGAACATGGAGAGGAGCCAGCGCCTCAATCGTGACCCACTTGCCATGCCAGAGGTTCTGAGGCATTTCCCTCTGGGGAGACCTGGACTGAGATCAAGGTCACTGTATGTGTTTAGTATGTTTTCTTCTGTATAACTGCTAGGTGGCGCCATAGTGCCGAGAGTGCCCAGGCCTGGAGTCAGGAAGGCTGGTCCTCCTGAATTCAAACCACGGCCTCAGACACTTACTAGCTGTGCGACCCTGGCAAGTCACCTCACCCTGTTTGCCTCAGTTTCCTCACCTGTAATATGAGCTAGAGAAGGAAATGGCAAACCACTCTGGGGTCTTTGCCAAGAAAACCCCAAAAGGGGTCACAAAGAGTTGAATAAGACTAAAAAACGACTAAACGCAAAGTTCCTTCTGGGGGGTTGTTTGCTATTGATTGGATAAATGGGTTCATACGCTAGTTGCTATATGTGTTTTTTGCAGAACTGGTATTTGGTGCAGTATGATCATGTTACCTTCCTACTCAATACCCCCCAGTGACTTTCCTGTAGTCTTCAGGAACAAAACATCTCTCAAATATCACCCCTTCTCTCCTCCCATGCTGGCCCTCATTGCCTCACACCCTAATTATTACAATAGCCTGCCTCCAATCTCTCTCCACTCCACTCCATCCTCCACTCAGCCACTAAAGTGATTTCCCTAAAGCACCCCCCACCCCCCCCCCCCACTCCATAAACCTCCAGGAACAAATACAAGCTGTTGTTTGGCATTCCAAGCCCTTCCTAGACTAGCCCCCTCCTACCTTTCCAGCCTTCTCACACCTCCCTCCCCAATAATCTCCAGGCCATTGATGCTGGACCGGCTATTCCAGGAACAAGACCCTCCATTTCTCAGCGCCAGGCATTCCCTGTGGCTGCGCTCCAACACACACACACACACACACACACACACACACCCCTACAACACTCTCCCTCCCTCCTTTGCTCCAGCTACAGACTTCTCTGGCTTTAAGTCTCAACTAAAATAGCACCTTCTACAGGAAGTCTTCCCCACCCCCTTTAAATTCTAGTGCCTCCCCTTTCCTAATCATTTCCTATTTATCCTGTATATAGCCTCCTTTGTACCTATTTGTTTGCATGGTGTCTTCCCCACTAGACTGTGAACTCCTTGAGGGCAGGCACTGTCTTTTGCCTCTTTCTGTATCCCTAGTACTTAGCACAGTGCCTGGCACATAGCAGACGTTTAATAAATGTTTATTGATTGATTGACTCAAGCCTTGGATAGAGAGATAAAGATACAGCTATAGGATACATACATGCATACATGCACATATATATATATAGAGAGAGAAATTACAGGTATAGGAAATATCTAGTAGCTGTTTGACCAGAAAGTATGTAAGAATCCATTGAACTGTCAGTGTTTATCCTGGCAAAGACAAGACTTCAGAAGCAGGGGGAGAGAGTTAAGATGTATGTGTGTGTGTGTGTGTGTGTGTGTGTGTGTGTATACACACACATATGTATCCTACGTATCTATATCTAGAGATGTATATCAATATCTACAGCTATATCTAGCTAGCTTGTGAACGCCTTTCCCCTTTGGGGATAGTGATCAGGAATGTATCTTGAAGTTAAAAATAATGTCCCCTAGAAAAACGATATTTAGAGGGGCAGAGAAGCTATAATTCTAGCCTCTGGCCCCAACCTCCTGCTTCTCCTTCTGAAGAAGGACGGGTGGAGGAGACTCCAGAGATTCATGCCTCCTGCTGAGCCACTTCTAGACAGACCCACATGGACACACATAAGCTACACAGGCAACACACGCCTTATTATTTCGAATCCCATATGAACAGTTCAAAGGAAGGAATACACATACACATACAAACATAGCTGGGTTCAGAAACATGTTTCACTCAACAGGGAAATGAGAGGGAAAGGAGAAAAGGGAAATTAGAGGCAAGATAGATTAAGGAAAGATAAGTCTTAAGCAAAACAAACTCTTAAGAACATACAGAAATATTTAAAGCATATTTTTTTTCCAACTGCAAAGACTTGGAGACTGAGGGGTTGCCCATCAATTGGGGAATGGCCAAACAAGTTATGCTATATGAATGGGTTGGAATGCTCTTGTGCTGTAAGAAATGATGAAGAGGATGTTTTTAGAGAATCCTAGGAAGACTTGAATGAACTGATGCAGCATAAACAGAACCAGGAAGACAGTGTATAATTGGCAACCATGTGGTAAAGAAAAACAACTTTGATAGACTCGGGAACTCCAATCAGTGCAATGGCTAACCAGCAATTCCAGAGGACTCATGAAGAAACACCTCGTCCTGGAAGGACTCAGAGTGCAGAACGAGATATATATTTTTGGACTTGACCAAAGGGGAAATTTATTGTGTTTGACTGTCTATGTTTATAACATTTTTGGATTTGCTGTTATTATTGTTGGGGTGGGAGAATGGGAAGGAGAGAAGGTAGATTTTTACTGATTGAAAAATAAAATTTAATTTAAAAAAGTACATCTCTGCTTCATTATTCCTGTTATTTGAGGGGCGGGTGTAGGGGACCTGGATTCCCGAGGCCAAGGCTGGGTCCAGCACATGTTGGCCCTTAAAGAAGTAGCAGGCTGGTAGGCCCAGATGCCTCAGCCTGAAACAGAGGGGAGTCTGTAGCTTGCCCCAGGGCATCCTTTATTCAACTGGGCCATTTTTAACATGGGCTCAGAACTGAAGCTTCAGAGTGCTTGGCCTGGCTCACTCCCATTCTTCCCAAATGGATAAGTCAGCAGCCCCTGGGTCCTCTCAAGACATCTGAACAGGCAGACTGATTTCCACGGGGAAGGAGTGATGTCACTGATCAGTGAGTGTCAGAAAGGAGTGTGATGTCCCTGCTCTCCTGAGTCCTGGAGGAAGGGGATGATGTCACTGGTCTCTGGGCAGACTATGCTGATCCAAGGCAACAGTGATCCCAGGTTGATGGTGCTGGGCAGGAGAGGTGGAGGGGTGGGAGAAGAGAAGCAAGGCTGAGGCCCAGATTGGGTAGACCTTCAGCACCTCAGTAGACTGTCAAGACACAGAGCAAATTGTACAAGACTGTTCAGCCTCCTGGGCTGCTCATGAGGAGAAGGGGAAGTGGTTTAAGGAACTGCCAACTGGCCAACTTCCCCTTTCTGCTTCCTCTCAGGACCCCAGGAGGCCCCTTCCCTTCTCCTCATATATCCCCTTCTCCTCTCCCCTTCCCTTCAGGACCACAGGCATCCCTGCCCCTGGACCCCTGGGGAAAGGGATCCCTGGAGGAGAGGGGAAAGGGACTCCTGGGGCCCTGAGGTGATGGGAAGATGGAAAGGGGAGGGCTGGGCCCTTGAGAGGATCAGGTGGAGGGGGGACAGCTGGGTCCCTGAGGACCTGGACCTCCCCTTGCCCCTAAGCTCACAGTGTTGGCATCTCAGGCATAGTAGGAGGGTTTCTTCAATTCCAGTTGCAACAAGCTGGCAAGGTTCAGAATCCCCAACCTGAGCATGGTAGAGCAGCACAGCAGATAAGAATAGAGAAGTGCTAACTCATACCCCACCATGGACCAAACTTCCCCTAAGAACCTAAGGGAGGCAGGCCATGAAGCCTCACCTGTAAGGAGCTAGCAGACCCGCTGGGCAGGAGACTCCCTGGGCCCCCCTAAGTCTCCCAAGAGCTTCCTGGGTCTCTCTGGGTACAACAGACTGTCTTTGGGTTTCTCTTCATTTCCCGCAGTTCCTGGCACTGCCAACATCGCTCTGGGCCATCTGCCTCTCCACAGGTCTCTCTGAGGCTCCTCCAAGCTTCTGAGTCTCCCTGGATTTTGACTGAACTCTCAGGGTGTCTCTGGATCTTCCTGGACCTCCTTAGGATGTGTTGAGGCCCCATGGCTGCCCACCTCTCATCTGCCCTGCCATGGAACCAAGTCTCACACCAATGTTCTCAAAGATGACTACAATAAAGGGTGACCATGAAGTCATCACACCTGGTCAGGAAGTAGATGCCTGACCTCTGGGTGAAGAAGAGGCCTCCCAGAAATCCCAAAAAGCAGATGCTCCCTGAGCAAGGAGGAGGAAGCCAGGTCAGCAGGAGAAAGGGTCACATTGGAAGCTACAGTGGGATGCATAGCCATGCTGGAGGTCAAGGGTCAAGGGTCAGGGGATCCTTAGCATCAGGGAGGGGAAGTATGAGAGGGGTCAGGGCAGTGCATAGTGGTGAGGTGAATGGACAGTGGCATAGGCAAGGGAAGTCACCCTGCAGTGAGGTCAGGGTACCCCATATGATGCCCACCATCCTGCTCAGCTCCAGGCTGATGGTAGATGATAGACCAGAAGAAAGAACCTGGGAACATGTTCAGCGCCTTTGTGAAGGCCACAAAATCCAGGCCCAGGCTTCCTGTGGGCAGTGGGGGGCAAGGGGATGCCCGGGCTGAGGTCATCTTTAGCCTGGGCCCTGGCACCCAGATCCTCCCAAGCTGCCCTGGGCCTGAACAAGCATTCATGTGGATCTAGCAGCCTCTGCCCATCAGTGCCCCACCCCTCTTCCTGGTGTGTTCCCCCCACTCCCCTAGGGCTCACACAGACAGGACCCTGGTGCTCAGCTCTGTGCTAAGTTGGTTTAGCCACATAGCGTAGGTGTTGGCTGGCTTTTCAGACAGGTCACCTGGTGGCCACGCTTCTTTGCACAGCTCACCAGCCTCTATCAGCTGCTGTCACTTCTATGCATTCTTGTCACTTCTATACATTCTTGGGGAGAGGGCAAAAGATATACCTTCTATCCTTCCCTTCATTTCCCACACACAGTCTTATGCCAAACACAAGACCTCTGAACTGAAGGTGCCTCCCAAAGCATCTGCAATTCATGGCCACCTGAGTCAACTGGTACTTGAATAAGAATCCCCACTGTCACATACCATGGTTCTCCACCCTCTGCTTGGAGACTTCCAGTAAGCCAGAATCCTCTTCTTCTCAAGGCAGCCCATTCCAGCTTTGGAGCAACTGTCCTTGTTAGGACACTTTTCTTTATGTAACCAGTGTTTGAAATGGCTTGGGTTGACTCTTCTTTCTTCTCATTTTTTCTGTATTTTTCCCATCTTGAAGGCTTAAAAGAGACATGAGGTCCTTGTCATTTGTGTGGGGTTAACCCACAAGGAACTGCCAAAAATAAGAGTAGTGCTATTGAGGGATGCTCAAATATAAGAGCAGGGCCCTGGTCCATGAGAAACATGCCCAGAGAACAGGAGTAACTCGCACTCAGAACTTGGGGTAGGGAGAAGTTGGGGGTCAGGAAGGGCAAGGTAGGGGAGGGGATAATCTGTGGAGACCTGGCTCAGGGGTCAGTAGAGAGCACTAGTATCAAAATCAATGGACAGCCTCTCTCTAGTGACCACTGGGAGCCAAGGGTGACCTTGGAAATCGGGGAGATGTCCAACTGCTCTTTCTTTACAAAGGGACTCCCTCTGGGAAAAAATATAGTGAAGAACTCAAGATATTAACAGGAATGGCTGCAGTCCCTGGGGATCTGGAAGTCCAGACTTGCTGCAGTAGTCAAGTTGGGCAGTGGAGAACTCTAAAAGGCTTTTTAATTCTGTTCAGTGATTGTGGTCTAATCCATAAGCTGAGTGTGTAGTCCTTTGGCACCTGGGAAAAGGGGAGAAAATGGGGGCTGAGCCATTTGGATAAAGTTATGAGACCCCTAGGAGTTGTGTGGAATCCAGGACAGTCTCTTCTCTCATGCGCAGCGGACATAGACAGGGCGCTTGGGGACCTAGTTGAGATCCTACCAAGCATGCATTCCTTAAGACACCGAAGGAGAGCTGGGAGCTGGAGCAGCTAGAGCTTGGTGCGCCATCTGGTGGTTGTGGGCATAGATAGCACCCTGAGTAGCTCTGTCCACTTGCTGATTTACCTATGTTAAGTGAGCCTAGGGAGACTTAATTCTGCACTTTACACTTACAAGAAGCCTAAATCAGTCTTGCTGCACCTTCCCCAGGGGCTCCTGGACCAACCGCAATGTCTAACCCACCTCTTCCCCAGGCTCCCAAGCACAACGTCTAACACGTCTCTTCCCCCTGGGTCTCCCGAACCAAGCAAGACCTCTAGCCCATCTTCCTCCTCATGACCTTCCTTCCAATACCAGCACACGGTTGTCATGTTCTCCCTCAGTTTTCTCCTCTGCAGGATCAAATGAGCTCCTTCAGAACAGGGACCAACTCACTTTTCCTCTTGCTTTCCTAGAATTTGGCTCAGTGGAAACTCAAGGAATCCCCCCACCTCTGCATTCTTTTCAGATTGTCAGTGAGACAGGGCCCTGCTGCCTCCGCCTTCTCCATCTTCTTTCCTTGTTGTCTCACTGCTCTTCCCTTCATCTCTGAATCACAGACCCAACAAATCTCAGAAACTTTGTGCCATCAAGTCCAACCCACAGTGCACTGGCTTCCAAAGCACTTTATAACTGGCATGCGATTTAAGCCTGGGAGCCTAGTATTATCCCCATTTAAAGACAGGAAAACTGAGGCTGACAGAAGTTAAGTCACTTGCCTAGGATCACACAGCTGGGAAGCATCTGAGGTCATATTTGAACTGACTCCAAGCCGTTGCTTGCTCTGTCCACTCTGTCTGCCTCCGGGTCTGGGATAGATTCTGGGAAACAGGTGCTGAGATGGAGTGAGAGACCCATGGAGCCCCCAAACCTAATTCATGCTCCTTCTCCTACATCCACCCTTTTTCCTGCCTTCCCTATTTCCTTCCAGTCACCCAGGCACAAAGCTTCCCTGCCATCTCTTGTCCTCCCCAGCCCTCCCTCTGCACCTCCCATCAGGTGGCCAATATCCACCCTGGCACAGGCTTTCATCACCCAGCACAGAACAGTTCTGGGTAAAGACTAACTCTCAGTTGGATGACTGTGGGTGTCTCCCAACCGACTCCTTCCCTCCAGTCTCTTCCCTGCTTTCCTTGTCCCCTCCCCACAGACATGAGGCTGGAGTGTCTCAAGCCCGGGTCTGACCATGTCCCTTCTCTGCTTGGGGCTTCCCTCTTTGACTTATGCAGTTGCTCACCCGCCCCCCCCCCGACTCCAGTGGCCCACACTTCCCGCTGTTCCTCCTGCACACTCCCTTCCTGAGATCCTGGCCGGCTCCTTGTTGCCCTCATGTGACATCACATCTTTCACCTTCATGCTTTTGTGCAGGCTAATGTTCTCCCTTCTCCGCTTCCTCTTCAAACCCCCAGCTCCAGGGCTCGACTCCGGGGCCACACACCCCATCCTGAAATCCTTAGCATCTCCCCCAGGAATCACTGTGAGTTTCTTTTGTATTGGCTTCTCTGTGGACATGTTGTTTTCTCCAGTAGAATGTAAACTCCTTAAGACCAGGGACTGTTCCATTTCTGTCTTTGTATCTTCAGCACCTGGCCTGTGACTGTTGAAATGAACTGAATAAAGGGTACAGAGCTGGGGAAACTCAGGATCAGAGAGGTAGTCACAAGCATAGTAAGCTGGGCCTTGTCCATCAAGGTTGGGGGTGGGGATCCAGGGTCCTGGATCAGCACTCACGTCTGACTACATGTACAGGTGAGGACAGTGGCCGGGAAGCCAAGTGTGCTGAAGACCACCCGTGTGGTCGCCTGTATGACCAGGCCAGTAAGGACCACAGTGTCAGCATCCTGGGCGCAGCTGTGTCCTGGCATGTAGGAAGCAAAGGCAATGATGCTGCCTGAGGCTGAGGCTCAGGGCAGATGAGCAGGTCCCCACCAAGAAGTCGGGGCAGGGAGTGAGGAGGGGTGGGGACCCCACCTGCAGTCGCAGAGGCGACGGGTCACAGAGGTACATAGGGGCAGACATAGGGAGAAAGGGTCAAGAGGAGGAGCAGACAGAAAGAGAAGCAGAGACAGAGAGAGACAGCCGAGGAGCCGAGTGTGAGAGCCTCGTCAGAACCCCCCAAAATGATGAGTAAAAGATGACTTTTGGGGTTCTCGGAGGACCTCCATGGATGCAGTTTAGGGTAACAATCCTCATTAATGGGGGCAGCGAGATGGCACAGTGGACAAGGTCCTGGCCTTGGCGTGAGGAGGACCTGAGTTCAAATCTAGCATCAGACACTTTACACTTACTAGGTGTGTGACGTAACACCAATTGCCTCACCAAAAAACAAACAAACAAAAAAACCCCAGAAAACCAACAATCCTTATTAATTCTCACAACAGTCCTGTGGGGTGAGAGGTGCACGCAGGTATCACTATTCCCATTTTACAAAGGGGGAAACAGATAGAGCTGAATTGACTTGCTTGTGATCCCCTAGCCAGCAAGTGGAGAAGACAGGTGTCCTGAGTTCCTCTGCCCAGTGCCCCTCCCTCTTGCCCAGCTGTCCTCTCCCTCACTGCCACCAAGTGGTGCAGCCCATCAACTGCATGTTCCAGCACTTAGCCCCAGATGAGGAAGCAAAGCAGGGTGACAGAGGGAAATATCACTGAGAAATATAAAATCTGGGGATGGGGAGACATTCATCAGGGACCAGCAGTTAAGGTGACAGACAGGAGGGAGCTCAGGGGTCAATGGATCCAACCAAGGTCAAGGAAGCATGGGTTTCCAGGTCAAAGGTCAGCAGGGTTCAATGTTTGCAGGACCAGTGGTCACAACCACCCATCTTGCCTATAAGCTTACTGCCCTGGACTAAGAATGGTACAACGAAGAACCAGGCCAAGAAAAGGCAGACAGAGAGGCTCAAGACCTGGCATCCCACCTTCACTGATATGCCAGGGCCTTATGGTACCAGAAATAGGTTGTGGAGTGTTGTCCAGGAACACTCAGGATCTGGTGGATCCCCAACGGGAGCAAGACAGCTCAGCTATAGGAGGTGGGGTCAGCATGAGCTCTTTTCTGACCTCCCAGCCATAACCCAAGCCCCAGGTGGTCACTTCTCAGGGTCAGCCCTGCCCCCAAACCTCACCAGGCAAGAACAGTGGCCCCAGGGCAGTGGGGACCAGAATGATTGGCTGAGGTAGAAAAAAATCCAGGCAATGATGACATTGTAGTGTGAGCCACCACAGAGCTCACCTGGGGAGTAGTGACAAAGCTAAGCGGAGCTGGACCCTGTGAGGCTCTCCACATCCCAGTCCAGGCCCCTTCTTGTACAGGGCAGAGCATGGCTTCACCAGACAGCTGGCTAAGCCCACACCTCCCCCCAGCCAGGATGGAGGAACAACCCAACCCCTACAAAATCTGAGTTCAGGTGCTGCCCCAAGACCACCTCCATAAATAACTGGGGAATCCCCATGATAAACAGCAAAGAGAGAGAAGTGTCTGGTGAGGGAGACAGGAAGAAGAGGCGGGTTCGGGAAGCCAAGCATGGCCTTTGGCCAGGGAGTCAGCCCAGGCAAACCTTCACTCTGCCCCTGGCCATGCCCCCAGGGAGCCAGGCCTCCCTCTCCACATCCCACCAGGCTATCCACCCCTTCACCCTCCACAGCCAAGAAGTTGGCTACCCAGCTCACTTCCTCTATTCTGGCAGCGCATATACAGATGCCTCTAGACAGCAGTCAGCCCCACAGAGAAGCCCACCTGGGCCAGGATGTACCCAACCTCATTGTTCCTCCAGACTGGCTGCTCAGCTACAGCTTCCCCCTCACTTTGCAGATGAGAAAACTGAAGTCCAAAGAAGAACACAGAATGACCCAAGATCACAGAGTTAGAGCCAAGAAGAGACACCCAGGTTTTCAGATGGCAGATTCCCCTCACTTTCCTTTATACTCCTTCACACCCCGGAGTTTCCTACTCAATATCTAGAACCAAGCTCTCCCAACTAGGAGTCACTTGCTGCTAGATCCCAGACACACACACACACACACACACACACACACACACACACACACACACACACACACACACACACCACACAACACACACACTGATCTGGAAAGCAGAGAGCTTTCCCCAGATGATAGAACCTAGCAGTCATCCTCCCACACACATACACACACACCTGAAATCAAGCCCATAAAACAAGAATTTCTCCAAAGTTCAGAAAACGAGACTTAGAAAGCAAGGTGCTGTCCTGCACAACACAAAACCTTAGAACTAAAAAAATTCCCCTGGACCCAGAATCTAGGAGGCATAACCCCCCTCCCCAACACAGGAGAACTCAGACCTAGAACTCAGGGGCTGCCTCAGCACACCTAGACATAGAACTTGGGAGTCTCTCTCCCACTCAGAATTTGGCAACTATTCCCCAAACTCAGAACTCAATTTCTCTCAACAGTAGAGAGATGATGGAGGTAACTTCTGAGTCCTTCCTGGGAGCAGAGAGGAGGCGGAGTCCCAGGAGACAAGCCCCTCCAAGGGGAGGGGCCTCTAGAAACCTGGCCCCTCCTACTGCTAGCACAAGCCAATCAGTGTCTCCTCCTTCCCCTCTGCCTAGTCGCTGGGTGGACCAGTCTCTAATTTAAGTGGATGGTCACCCAGCTTGCATTGTCCAGTCGACCCTGAACCGAGGCTTCTTTCGAGGTGAGCAGACTTTACCTTCTAGCAAAGGGGGGATCTCTAAGAGCTTGAGGAGCACCTGTCTCGGCTTTCTCCGCACTCCAGAGTCCAGGTATCTCGCACACACACACACTTGCGCTCACACACCCATGCGGTCTGGAACGGGGGAATTTTAGACGCTTAAGGCTGAAGCCCAGCTTTGTCCTCCCCACTCCGACCTTTTGTCTGGCATCCTCGATCCACCTTGCGCTTGCTCTCTTGAGTTCCCACAACACACGCACTCGCGCTCATAGTCCCAGTCGGAAATGGATCTCTAAGAGCTCAAGTAATAAACCCCTTCCCTCTTTCTCCTTGCCCCAGCGTCCTAGTCTTCCGCCTGTCCCAAAGCTCCCCAGGATCTCAACTAGAGATCTCTAAGCATTAAAAGGGAAATCCCTCCAAGGCCGGACTCCGTGGCTCTCTCGACTACTGTCCCCGCGCACCTCCGACACGAGGTCCTTGCCCTTGAGTACCCCTCCACCTTCACCCTACACCAACCCCCGCGCGACACCAAGAGCTCTGGTGTTCCCCTCCTCGGGTGGCCGCCCTTCCCCCAACTTCCTCAGGCGTCGCCTGTGCCCCGAGAGGAAGTCACTGTACTTCCTGGGGGAGGGGGGAGTTGAGCGAGTTTACAGGTGCTGTGTCCCTAGGGATCCCGACAGACCCCAAGTGTAAGGGGCAGAGACTCGGGGAAAGGCCCGTCTAGACAGAAACTGGAGTCTCAGCCCAGAGCCTGAGACATGGAAGCACGGAAATGGGGGCAGAGGAGACAGAAAGGACAAACAGAGAAACGCTGAGAGAGATAGATACTCAGTGAGAGGCTGAGACAGAAAGAGATAGGGAGAAACCCCAGAGACAGGGACAGACCCCAAAATGGGGCCTCACTTTCCTCCTTAGACAAATGAGATCCTTGGATTCAATGTTTTCAAAGGTCCCATCTACCTAGGATGTTCTAGGTTCCTCTTAGGCTTTCACACACACACACACACACACACACACACACACACACACACACACACAGGAAGAGGGGCAGCTTAAGTGACACTGAGCCACATGCAGCATCACATCGATGAGGTCATCTGATCTCTGTGAGGTAGAGCCTGGTCTGACTTGGCCTAAGCTAAGGAGGAGACCTGGATGAAGGTAGCGACCCAAGCAGGTGCTTGAGAGGACTTTGGACCCACCTCTCTGTCCTCCACATCCCCAGAGCCATGAAGAAATGGGAGAGTTCCTTCCAGGCCTCAGAGACAGAAGTGACCAGAGAATCAGAGGAAGCAGGGGACCCCCATAGCTCTGAAGAGACCAGTGGTCCACAGGAATCTGAGGAAATCAGAACCCCAGAGGGGTCTGAGGAGACCAGAGGTCAAGGAGAGACTGAGGAGACTAGAGGCCCAGAGGATAAGGAGGGGATTGAGTGCCCCAAAGAGACTGTGATTAGGGACCCAAAGGGGTCTGAGGAGAACAGTGGCCCAGAGGAGAGTGAAGGGATCAAGGGCCCAAAAGAGACTGAGATTAGGGACTCAGAGGAGACTGAGGGGATCAGGACATCAGGGGACACTGAGGAGACCAAAGGCCCAGGGGAGACCAGGACCCCAAAGGAGAATGAGGTCGGAGGTCCAGAGGAGGTTGAGGGGATCAGGGGGCCAGTGGAGACTGAAGATAACAGGGAACCAGAACACACTGAGACTAAGAGTCTAGGGGAGACTGAGGGGATCAGGAACCTTGGGGAAACCTGGAGCCCAGAGGAAGCTGAGAACAGGGGTCGAGAGAAGTCTGAAAAAACCAGAGACCCAGAGGAGTTTAAAGAGTCCAGGATCCCAAAGGACACTGAGGTCAGGGGTCCAGAGCAATCTGAGGGAACCAGAGACCCAGATAAGTCTAAGGAGACCAGGATGTCAGTTGAGAGAAAACTGAGAGGTTCTGTGAGATTTGAGATCCGGGAACCTGAAGAGCCTGAGACCAGGTCCCCAGACACTTCTCAGGACACTAGAGACCCCAAGGAAACTGGGGACTCAGAGATACCCAAGGAGCCCAGGGACCTAGAGGAGGTGTGTGTCTGGGCTGGGGGAGCTGGGAGGAGGTAGGACTGTAGATGCTTCCTCCTTTGGGGTCTCCCTCCCATCTTGGTTGAAGACTGTCCTTCCTTAGGTTGTCTCCTCTCTCTTTCAGCCTCTCTCTGTCTCCTTTCTACATTAAGCATCTGCTATTTTAGAAGGCACTAAGCTCCTTGCTGTACATCTGCTACCCTCTTTAGATTGTAAGCTCTCTGAGGGCAAGATTCCCCAAAGTCCCCTTCCGGCAAAGAGGCCAAACCCAAGGCTGGGGGACAATCTAACTAGAGGTGACCTGGGCTGGGGGAGCAGGGAAGACCTCATGAATGAAGCTGAGCTAGAGTTGGGAGTCTGAAGAAAGATCACATCATGGAAGGATCATAGAATGAATAGTCGGGGGGGGGAGCTTCTAGGCCAGGGGAGCAAAATTGACTTGTTCAGGGTCACACTACTAGCAAATATCTGAGGTAGAACTTGAACCCAGGTCCTCAGGACCTTCTTTCTGAACTACATCCCTCTAGAGGTGAGGGTCAAGCAAGCAGGGAGAATTCTGGACTTTGGGGAATCTTCTTCTTATCAATGTGGAGATTCTGCCTGTTGGTCAGAGCACTAAGAAGGCTGGTGGCTACGGCCATGAGGAGCTCTTTGCCCATCATCTCTTTGGGAAGGGAGGTGTTGGTCCTAGGCCTGGAATGTGAATTCGCAGGAGCAAAGCAGGGAAAGGCTAGAACACGGGAAGAGAGTCTTCTTGTAGTGGCTGGAGTGTAGAAGGTGGGGAAAAAAGGGAGTCATGGTACTTAGTTCAGGAAAGGGAGGTGGGACCAGACTGCAAGGCAGGATCTGGAGAGAAAACTGTGCTGGTGGCAGAGGAGAGCCATGGCAGGTCTTGGAGCAGAGCAGGGCATTAGAAAGCTGATGAGGGCAGTGTGTAGAATAGAAATTAAATGCCCTGGGAGAGTCTAGAGGCAGGGAGACCTCCTAGAAATCCAAGGCTATTTCAATTGTCTCAGTCAGGAGTGCATTCAGGGACTCTTTCCCAGTTCCCTCAGATGTGAGGCCCTCTGTCTGATTTTAAAAAATTATTTTGTGTGTTATGTGCATATTAATTTGTTTCTGTTGAATTGTTTCTGTCATGTCTGACTCTTCAAGACCCCATTTTGGGGTTTTCTTGGCACAGATACTGGAGTGGTTTGCCATTTCCTTCTCCTGCTTGTTTGACTAATTAGGAAACTGAGACAAATAGAGTTAAAGTGACTTGCCCAGGGACACACAACTAGGAAGCGTCTGAACTCAGGTGCTCTTGACTCTAGGCCCTGCATTCTATCTCCTGTGCCCCTTAATTGCCCTGTGTGCCCCTAATAGAAGGAAAATTCCATCAAGGCAGAGACTGACCTGTTGTGTTTTTGTTTTTGTTTTTTTCCTGCCTGTGATCCCTGCAACTAGCTCAGCATCTGGAATATAGTAGGCTTTTAAAGAAATGCTTTTTGCCCCCCCCCACAAAAACAAACAAAAAAACAACAAGGGGGCAGCTAGGTAACACAGTGGATAGAGCACTGGCCCTGGAGTCAGGAGGACCTGAGTTCAAATCCAGCCTCAGACAGTTGACACTTGCTATCTGTGTGACCCTGGGCAAGTCACTTAACCCCATTGCCTAGCCCACCCCACCTCCAAAAAAATGCTTTTTTGGATTGAATAGTCCAGGAGAGAAACAGTGAAGATTAGAACCTGGGAGGAGGAAGGCAGCGGGATTGGAGAAAAGGTAGGTGGGCAGAAAGAGATGTAGTGGTTTCATTTTCTAGTTTTTATTAGGTGTATACTCAGTTTGTTGGTCTGTTCTTTCCTTTCATTTTGATGATGAAATAGTGATATAGAACTGATAAGATTTGGAGCCCATCAAATCTCAGGCGTGAGGGTCAGGGAGGAGTGAGGGATTACTCCAAGGTTCCTGAGTGAGTAGAAAAGGATGCTGGTACCCTTGGCTAAAATTGGGAAATGGGGAGGGGTAGCTTGGGGACACCTCATAAAGCCTTCATGCTGGGATATATGAAGCTTGAGGTCTTGATTTGTGTACCTCTCAAGATCTCTGAATTTCCTGGGTCCTCTGTCTCTAAATCCCCAGGTTAAGGCCATGGCGGAGAAGGGCTGTCTCAGCCTCACCAAATATTTCCTCTTTGTCTTCAACATCTTCTTCTTCGTGAGTTATGCTACCCAAACCCCTGATCCCACCTCCACCCCTCCCACAACCCTCCTTAATCCATCTCTGGTCCCCCTCTCAACCTTCCCTGCCCCCTCAGGTCCTGGGCAGTCTTGTACTCTGCTTTGGCCTCTGGATTCTCATTGACAAGAACAGCTTTGCTTCTTATCTGGGTAAGGGATTCTGTAACTCAATCCTGGTGGTCTCAACCCCTGATTATGACCTTTAACCCAGGGATACAGTCCTCTGAGCCCTAGGCAGTGGTGATGTGAATTTGGGAGGCATTTCTGAATCTTGGCTCTGACACCAGCTTCCTGTGAGACTGGGGTCAAATCACTCCCCCTTTCTAAGCCTTAGTTACCACATTTATCAAAAGAGGGGGGTTGGGTTCTAGGTTCTCTGAAGTCCCTTCCTTGAGTCAAAAGCTCTTTCTTCCCACACGGGCATCTTCTTTACCTTCCCCTTCCCACCATTCTGTGGGTGTCTTGCAGGACTATCTTTTATACCACTGAAGATATGGTCTTATGTACTGGCTACCTCGGGGGTCCTCACAGGCCTCCTGTCCCTCCTAGGCTGCCTTGGAGCCCTCAAGGAGATCAGGTGCCTCCTTGGCCTCGTGAGTAGTCCTCAAATACTCCCTGGTACCCCTAATGGCTAGAGATGCCCCTAAAACTCCTCTGAGATCCTCCCCCTTGGATGCCCCCAAATCCCCCATGTCTCCATGATGTCTCCTTAGGGACCTTCCAACCTCCAGAGCAGCTCCAAAGGCTATCCCCTTTCTCTCCCAGCCACTCTTCCCCTGACCCCTAGATGGAGGCCCTAACTCTGTTCCTTTCCTCAGTATTTTAGTTTTCTGCTGGTCCTGTTTACCACCCAGATCACAATAGGAGTCCTCATCTACACACAGCATAGCCTTGTGAGTGAGACCTGCCCGCTGGCCAATGGGAAATAAAAACCAGAGCAAGACACTGAGTGGGAGGGAGGCAAAGACTGAGCCGACCACCGAGAAAGACCGACAGGGGAAAAGGAAGGGGATAGACACTTCAGAAAGAAAGGGAGACCCACTGAAAGGGGCAAAGCTGATTGAAAGAGGAACACGGGACAGGGGAAGGCGCAGAGACAGAAAGGACAGGAGGAAGCGACAGACACATGTTAGGGGCCATGTGTGAGAGGCTAGACCAGGAAGCCAGGGTGAGGGGCAGAGTGAGACTGAGGAGAGGAGAGAGGAGAAAGAAACCGAAACTGAGCTGAGGGAGAGCCCAGACCTGAAAAGCAGAGAAGACACGATATATCTCCCTCCCACCCCTTTTTCTGGCCCAGCTGGAGCGAAAGGTGAAGGACATCGTGCTGGACATAATCGAGAATTATCACAAGTACCCGGATGCTTACAGCACCGCTGAGAACTGGGATTTTGTGCAGTTCCAGGTGGGAGGCCCAGACCCGGACACCTGTCTCCTGACAACCCCCTGCCACCCTATCACATACTTCCAAACCAGCGTTTCCCCATGACCCTGAGAGTTCCTCCGTGCGTCCCTGGCCCTGAGGGTCTTTTGGGACCCTGGCCCTGAGTGGCCCGCGGGGAGCCCCTGACTGTGAGTGAGCTCTATCTCCCTGTGACCCCGACCGCTCTGTCTCCAGCTTCGGTGCTGCGGCTGGACCTCCCCCCAGGACTGGCTGCTGGCATCCTCCCTGAGGTCCAATGGCTCGGCCCCCATCGGCAGTGGAAGAGCCTCCACCTTCTTCCCGACACGAAGCAGCGACTTCTTGCCCCCATCCCAGACGACTGGGCAGCTTCTGCGTGTGCCCTGCTCCTGCCAGAACACTTCTGTGATAATGCCCACACCCCAGAGCCCTGCGGACGTCCCTAGAGCCAGCCAGCCTGCAGCTGGGCCTGGGGCTCGGGCCACCGTGGTCTCTTCCCCGGGCATGCCCTTGGTCCTGCCGGGTCCAGGCAGCCCCGGGACCCCTGCCCGAGTGCTCTCGGGCGAGCTATGCTCGATGCCTGCAGATAGTGGAGTCTATCCGGAGGTGCGGGCTCGGGAAGGGCCCAAGGGGACGGTTGGGGAGGACTGTCGGAAACTGGGAAGAGGTAGTGGCGGAGATGGGGGAGGGGGAGCGGAGTTGGAAGGGGCGGGGTCCCCAGGGGAGGGCAGACCTTACCTGAGCTGCGTGACTCCCTCGCCCGCCTCCGCAGGGCTGCTCTCGGAGCGTCTACACCTGGTTGCACAACAACCTCATCTCCATCGTGGGCATCAGCCTGGGCCTAGGGCTGCTCGAGGTAAGGACCCCGTCCCCCATCGGGAGCGCCCTCCTGGGGTTGGGTACCCGCTCCCCCACACCTCTCCCGAGCCTGGGGTTACCCGCTTTCCTCGCACCTTCCGAGCCTACAGCTCCCCGCTCCTCACTCCCCGTCCTTCTCCAAGAGGTGCCGAAGCCAAGTCACATTTCTCGGGTCGGAAGGACCTTTTCACCGTGTCTTTTTCTCCCATCTCTTGACAATTCGATTCTCCACGAAAGCGGGAACGCTCCCTCACAGATCCGCCCAGATTGTTCTCTCCTTGGGAGGGTGGGAGACAGCAGTCACTCCTCTGATTGGCTGTGGGATGGAAAGCGCATCTTCTCCCTCTTGGCTGAGCAAGGAAAGGAAGCAGGCCTTTGGGAAGTTAGGCTGAGGCAGGTCGCGAGCGCCCATTCTCTTTTAGCTGAAGTATTTCCCGATTGACCAAAGATGGGGAGCCAGGGGAGGTCCTACCTCAGATCTCCTTGGTCAATGAACCCCAGCTCCGATGGCGGTGCGGAACGGAAAGAGATCCTCCCCACCTCGACTACTGTAGGAGCGGACCCATCTCCAATTCTCTTGTCAGAGTCCTTCCCCATTGAGCTCGTTAGGAGCCGGACTTAGCTAATAGCGATGGGAGAGGGAGTAGCTGAGGATGGGGGGGTCACAGCAGAAAAAGATCTTGCCAGGATTGGTCGAGGTGGGAGCGAGCCTAGGAATGGACAGCAAGATGGCCCTTCTCCCCTGTGCCAAAATGTGCTCTGGCACAGCCCAGATTGGATAAGCAGGTCCAGCGCCTGCTGACTCGCGTGTCCCGTTGCAGATGGCGGCGGTGGGGCTGACACTGGTGCTGCTGCCCCACGGCCAGGCCTGGGGCTCCCGGCGCAAGGGGCTGGAGGAGGGAGAGTCATCTGCGGCAGGGGGGTGCGGGAACTGCAGTTCAGGGCCGCCTGCGTCCAACTGGGGCATGGCATGCGGGTGCGCTTCGTGGGGGTCCCAGGCGCCGAGCCGCTTGCCCACAATGGTGGGTCGTTGGCTGCCGCGACAGCGTCAGGCCTCGAGGCTTTCGACCGTCTGGTCCACCTGTCGGATAGAGCCCCAGGGCTACGAATAAAGGATCAGCTCAGCCCCAGGATCGGCGATGCCCTGCTTCTGTACCTGTCCGCCCTGTCTCTGACCTCTCCCCCTGCGTCTCTGCCCCTATACGCGAGCCCTCACCCGCAACCATCCTTGTCCCTAGCCCATAACAGCTCCACCTCTGACCCACCCGTGTCTCCTTCCTCTCTCCCTAGCTCGGGGTCATGTCGCTTTCGATGTTCCTCTGCAGGAACCTGGATCACGTCTACAACAAGCTCTCGAGATACTCTTAGACAACCCCCCCCTTACCCCACCTGAGACCCCGAGTCCTGCTCCCAGGACCCTCTCATCTTTCCTGAATCAGCCACATCCTCTCCCCCATACCGCTCTCCTCCAGGGCATCCTGGAGTCCAGTCCCTAAGCTTCCTCTTCTCCCAGCTCCCTTTCATCTGCGCCGACCCTGGAACCTCGTTCCCTAATATCCCTCTCCCTTCTTGCGCCAGCCAGGTCCTTTCCTGGAGCAGCCTAGAGGGCTTCCTAGGTACCCAGCGATATTCTGTTCCCAGCCCCTCTCTTCCCAAGGATCCTCTAGTATCCCTTCTTTGAGTCCCCCCCCCCTCAATATTCAATCCCCAGCAGGGTCGGGAGGTGGTGACTAATGGTGTCCTATTTTAAAGGTTCCAACCGTTGAACCCAGTCTTTCGTGCTCCATCCCTATCTCATCCCACCAGGAACCCTGAGGTCTGAGCCCTAGAACCCTCTTCTCTACCATCTCCCTTAGCATTCTAGCTCCCTCTAGTACCCCAGTGTCCTTTCCTCCAACCTCCTTTTCTTTCCCCAGGGATTTTAGTGACCACCATAGCCTCCCTATCTTCTTGCTCTGGACTGCTGTATCCTCTTCTTCCTGGGAACCTCATCATTCTGTCCCCCAGTCCTTTTTTTCCTCCTGGGGAACTTATCATCTTACCTCCCAATATTTTCTCCTCTACTTTGGAATCCTGGCATCCTATTCTCTAGCTCCCTTTCTCCCTCTTTCCCCACTTTGTTGTGTCCTGTCTCCCTTTGCTCCTTTTCTATTCTCAGGGACCCTATTATTCTGTCTCTTCCCCACCCCAGGGATACCAGTACCCTATCCTTCAGTTCCTTTTAATCTCCTGCAGCTCCCAACATCTTGTCACAGTCTAATTTCTTTCCTTCTTATCCATTTTCCTTTTCAATTCTCTTTCTGTCCAATGAGCTCTGGGTAAGAAATAAAAATCATTTATTTGCTGGTAAAATGGACTCTGTAGAAGAAGGTATTCATTGGCTCCTGGCTGTCCCTAGAAGGTCACTGAACTTTCTTCCCTTACCAAGACAGAACTTCTCAACCCAAGCTGCCCACCCATTGGAAGGCCAAGGATTGGAAGGGAGCAGCCTGGGGTCATTTGTAGGTGAAAAGCCTTGATGGGCTGGAGTACTGGACAAAATCTGGTCAGATGAAATGTGACAAGAATAAATGTAGTCTTATACTTGGGTTAAAAAAAATCAGCATCAGAAAGATGAAATGTGAGGGGACCTAGGCAGTAGTTAGTTTGAAAACAATCTGGAGTTTTAAATAGACTGTCAGTCTAAAGTGAACAAATGGTCTAATGATATTACCACAAAAGCTAAAACAATCTCAGGTTGTAGGCATAATGGAATGGTTGTTTTCCACAAATCTCTCCAACACTTCAAGAAAAAAAAGTACTAGAGATAGAGTAACTAAAGCTGAATCCACATAAACACCACAAAAGGTAATACAACATGAAATCACAACAGATGATTATAAAACTCAGAGCCCCAAGCTTATGCCTGGTAAAGAAAAGGAGAAGATACCATTAAAGACCATTATCATGGTGGGGAGGTATACATGTATGGCAAGAGAAAGCTCATGGGTTTTGTCTGAACAGAGAAATTTACACATTAGAAAATCACCTTTTCTAGGAAAGGTGGTCCTACATCTTCATTACACCTCAAAGAGAGGACAGGTATGATTCCCCATGGGCCAGCAGCACCCCAGATTGCTAGGGAAGGAAGGGGAATAAAACCAGAAATATGATAACTTGACCTTAAGAGTTTTGAATGATTATAGTAAGGCCAAGGGTGGGGTTGGACAACTTGACCCTGGGCACAGAGTGAATCCCACAATGTGACACTGCTTCTATTTGACATTGCTTCCTTCATTAATTGATATTTCTAAGGAAGGAAAGATAGTGCCTTTCTCCACGCCACACCCCAAATTACCTTGTGTCTAGCTTGTTTATACCTGAACATGTATATATTGTCTCCTCTGCTGGGATGTAAGCACCTTGACAGAAGGTATCATTTATGCTTTTTTATCCCCAATGTATAGCACCTGGGATGAAATTAATAAATACTTGTCCAATGGGTGACTAAAAACATATAAATGCAGTAATAGAAATATGAGGGAAAGTGCTCAGATTCTGTATTCCAGAAACTCGGCACTCATAAGGAATACATAGAACAAAGACATAATAAAAAAGGATGTAGCCAGTAAATGCAAGAAGAAAATTAAGGATAGACTAGAAATGAAGAACAAGGCAAAATAAATCTTGGAAAAGGGTACTGCAGAAGAATGCTACATCTGTAACCCTGGCTTCCAGCTTGCAACTTTTGTATAAGACTCTCCCCATGGGTTAAGAGAATGGTGATGCAACACTGGGAACCTGCCTAAGATGTAGAGTTGGGGCAACAGCTTGGGGGAAGAGATACATTCTTCTACCTTCCTGTGTCAAGAAAGAACATACCTTTGGGGAGAGTCTCTAAGGAGCAAGAAAAGACTTTGGGAAGGGTTACATGTAGGACAAATATCACTCCTCACCTGTGATTCCTTAGAGACTTTTGGGAATTTCCGCAGGAATGAGCTCAGGGACTCTCTTGGTTGAACTGAGGTACCCTGTTCCTACTGAGAGAGTTCATTCACTTGGTATTTTCTTTTTTTTAAATAGCATTTTCTTTTTTCCCCAATTATATGTAAAGACAATTTTTAGCATTAATTTTACAAGATTTTGAGATTAATTTTACCAAATTTTCCTCCTTCCCTCCCCTCCACCTTCCCAAATTGGTAAGCAATTTGATATTGGTTATATGTACAATAATGTAAAACATCTTTCCATATTAGCCATAGTTGTGAAAGAAGAAACAGACTGAAAGGGGGAAAAAAGACAAAAAAGTAAAACAAGTGAAAAAAGTGTACTTAGATCATCATTCAGAGCACATTAGTTCTTTATCTGGATGTGCATAGCATTTTCCATCACGAGTTCTTTGTAATTGTCTTTGATCATTGTGTTGCTGAGAAGAACTAAGTCATTCATAGTTGAGTATCGCATAATGTTGCTGTTACTGTGTACAATGTTTTCCTGGTTCTACTCATGTAACTTTGCATCAGTTCTCACAAGTCTTTCCAGGTTTTTCTGAAATCTGCCAGCTCATCATTTCTTATTGCACAGCATTATTCCATTACATTCATATGCCACAAATTGTTCAGCCATTCCCCAGTTGATGGGCATCCCCTCATACTTGGTATTTCTTTTTTTTTCCTTTTTCTTTTTTAGGCAATTGGGGTTAAGCGACTTGCCCAGGGTCACACAGCTAGTAAGTGTCAAACGTTTGGTCTGAGGCCGGATTTGAACTCAGGTCCTCCTCACTGCTCTATTCACTGTGCTGCCTAGTTGCCCCCCACATTTGGTATAATCTAACCTGCTTGGACAAAAGGGTTTACTTGCTCTTCACTACTTGGGGTAGTCTTTTGTATAACCGACATTTGGCTGCGGATGGGTCAAACCTCCAGATATAAGCTTGGAGTACCCCTCCCTCTTTAAGGGATAACAATCTTGATTGAAGTGCCTGAGATCAGATTTGAATGAAGAAAAGTCCAGAGCTCCATGCAACATGGCACCACCTAGCAGCCCCTATGTAAACGTGCAGATAGATATAATTCTAGTTTGGTACCCCTCTCTGAGAGGAGCTGAATGGTCAGGATCATGGCCTTCTTTCTACTCCTCTCCAAGCAGGTATGAGCAGGATTCCCAAGATACCTATCAAAGCTTTCCTACTAGCCACATTCCAACAAACGCATTTGGACCTACAGATAACCTACATGGGCAACCAATACATATATACACATTCCCTACACAAGAAACATCCAAAAATAAAACCACATGTATAAATGTAGTGGAATACTATTGTTTCATAAGAAATGATGAGCAGGTAGATTTCAGAAAAACTTGGAAAGACAAGAATTGATGCTGTATGAAGTGAGCAGAACAAGGAGAGCATGGTATACAGTAACAGCAACACTGTGCAATGACCACCTTGATAGACCTAGCTCTTCTCAGCAACACAATGATCTAAGACAGAGATGGGGAACCTGCAGCCTCGAGGCCATAGGTGGCCCTCTAGGTCCTCAAGTGAGGCCCTTTGACTGAATCCAAATCCCCTTAAAGGAAGGATTTGTTCTATAAAACTTGGACTCAGTCAAAAGGCCCTACCTGAGGACCTAAAAGGGCACATGTGGCTTGGAGGCGAAGATTCCCCACCCCTGGTCTAGATAGAGTTATCATGCCCCCACCCACCTCCACCCCCAGTCTTCTCTTCTCCAGGCTAAATAGCCCTAATTCCTTCAATTAATCCTCAGATGACAGAGTCAAGGCCCTTCTTCATCCTGATTTCCTTCTTCTATATGCCCACAAGGTCATCAATATCGACCCTAAACTGAAGTGCTCAGAAATGAACATAATAGTGCAGATGTACTCTGATTCAAGCAGAGAACTAATGGTCTGATACCTCCTTGTTTCCATAAGCTCTGCCCCTCTCAATGCAGCTCAAGATGGCTTTTGCTTTTGTGGCTGCCACACCCCACATTGAGTGATTTACCTGAGCTTGTGGTCCACTAATAACCCTGGCCCAGAGGCTTTCAAGCTTCTAAACCTATCTCCCCCATCCTGAATTTGTGAAACTAATATATGAACCATTGTATGATTTTATATTTATCCCCATTGATTTCCTTCTTATTAGATTCAGCCCAATGAGTAATACAAGGAATAAATGAATGAAAAGGCATTCATTACTCACTTACTAAGTTCCAAGCACTACACTAAGCACCGGAATCAGGACAGTTCCTGCCTTCAAGTAGCTTACATTTTGATACAATACACATAGGGAAATTGGGGTCAGGGAAGGGAGCTTTAGCCTACACAGTCAACACAGTCACAGAGATGGTGAGTGGAACTATTGAGGAGTAGATTGAAACAACATTTCTAGTAGCAAGGGCAGTTTTGATTTGATTATGGTTCCAGAGCTGGAAGTCAAGGTGAGAGTACATGCATGGTAGGAGACAAGGAGATGCCTGGAGTCTAAAGTGAAACAGGGCTGGGCTGGCTAGGTAGAGTGGACCATGTGGGGTACTCGACAATCAGGAAGGGGCCGATGGAAGGTCAGGAGTGCCAGTGCTGAAAGGCTTCAGTCTCCTAACCCAAATCTTTGGTCCAGAGGGTGCAGTGTCAAGAAGATAACCTTTGAAGATGCTTCTGAATCCTGACTCTGTCACCTAGCGTATTTACTCTTCCTCCCACCTTTCTGTCTTCTGCAAATGGCATGACCAGCACACTGTCTCTATGTCTATCCAAATCTTTGATAAAAATGTTAACGGCATAAGGCCAAGCCCTTCGGCACCCTAATGTAGACCTTCTTCTATGATGACATAGAACTCTTGATGACTCTGAGTCCCACCATTCAATCAGTGCCGAATGTATCTAATTGTATTGTCAATCTAATCCACCATCACTCCATCTTCTCCCCAAGAAAAGCATGAGATATTTGATGCAAGCTTTGCTAAAATCTAAGTAACTCATAGCTACAGGATTCCCTCCTCTACCAGTTTAGTGGTCCTCTACAGTTAGCCTGTTCCTGATGAAGTCACACTGGCACTTATAAGTCACTGACCTGAGCTCCACATGACTCCTTGTTGCTTCAATATTGATCCAGGCTTTTGGAAGTTATAATGGAAGCTCCTTGAGGGCAGGGACTGCTTTTGCCTCTTTCTAAATCCCACACAGCAAAGTGTCCGGATCATCACAAATGCTTAAAAAGTGCTTTTTGATTTATTGACTGCAAAGGGAATATTTATCAGAAATATTCATATTATGAAATTATCCATTAACTAGCCCTCGCCCCAATCTGAAAAATGTCCTTCTCTCTATCAAGAAATCTCATTCGTAAAACACTGGCAATTGACTTTTCAGTAGCCATATGGTTTGTTAAAAGGAGTAAAGCAAAATTGCTACAAAACAGTCAAGTGCTCCCCTCTCCTGGAGCATCACGCCCCCCACCCTCCCCTTGTACTTGTAGGTCATGGACAAGATTAAAGGAATGGATTGGGTGTGTTGGGTCCACCTGGATAGGCTCTGTAAACAGTGAGGAATAGTGAAGGACTTGGAGGCAGAGTGGATTGGTTCCAAGGTCTCTGGCAGGATCTGCCCAGGCTCTCAGCTGCCCTTCCAGGTGACAAAAGTCCATCTCCCTGCCTTTCACAAATCACTTTTCCCCCTTTCATTGAATATCACTGTAACTTCAGGCCCATGTGAGGGGACCATAGAGCATCTGCATATACATTAGTTTTCCCTAGCCCTTCTTTCATACTAAACTCACAGTTTCCTAGTACTGCTACTCATCTCTGGCAGATAGCATGCCCCTTTAGCCCAGGTCAGAATAGATCAATAGATGGTTATCAGTCCATACTTAATTAATTTGACAAAGTCCTGGAGCTTCTCCAACAGCTCACCTTGAAGCCAGTGTCTCTAGTTTGTGTGAGGAATACTATCTCATCAGTGAGTCCTCTCCTGGCAGATGCAATAGGTTTCTGGCGGCTCCTGTTTGCCTGGTATTGTTAATAGGATTTTACTGAGCCAATCTCTAACCTGAGAATGATGAAACAGCAGGCTAGAGACAGAGTGCCAGTAATCAGGTAGCCATTTAATTAATTAGTTTCATTATGAGGAATAGATTTGCAAATCAGGAATTCTCCTGATCAGAATTCAACCTTGCTCTACTGAAGGCAGAGATTATATACATAAATCACCAGTGGGAAGGGAAGGGGGAAGGGGGATCACAAACAATAGTTTCCAAGGGTCTGAGTGGTTTTTCACAAGCCCACACTCCGGGTATCCTGAAGGTCTGTGAGAACAGTATTATTTCAGGTCCTTGGTGAGTCACAAGACCAGAGTTCTGTGACAGGAACAAGTTTTACAAGCTTTGATTCGCTTCACTTAAGGTACAGAGGCACCAGAATGCAATGATTGTGAGAGCATCGTCAAGAGTTTGATTGATCTTTTGTAACTGAGGCATTGTAAGTCTGACTCCCAACCCATAAGAAGCAATTCTAAGAAATCTACTCTATTAGTATATTAATTACACATATCATATTGATAAATATGAAAATCACAGTTCCCTTCACAGTATCAAATGTCTTCAAAGCCTTGCAGATGAGCCTCAGCATGCGATACGAAGGAGTGTCTAAGTCTGCACTGAAGTACATATGGTCTTTTCATCCCACCAGACTCCAGGGGCACCTGAAGGCACCAACCAGGCTGCTTCTTTCTGCCCTTTCTTGTCCTTTTCCACTATATATTCAGGAGGGAGATCACTGGGATGAAGAATCTGTCGCACATTTTGGATAATAAACACCTAAAACTAAAATTTTTTTTTAAAAAGGCATTAGAAATTCTCTGGACAGGGTCAGCTAGTGAGTGCTTGTATCTTTTGGAGGTTAAAGTATCCTGGATCTCAAAATGAAAAAAGACTTTTGAGGTCACTGAGTCCAACCCCCTCATTTTAAGGATGAGAAAACTGAGACCTAATGAGGTTAAGTGACATGCCTAAGCCCAATCAGATAGGAAACATCAGCTTCAGGATTTGAACCCAGGTCCTCTGATTCCTGATGCAATTCTCTTTCCTCTGTGGCCCTATCTCAGTTCTGAAACCCTGTGTGTCCCTGGTCCTAAACAGAAGCTTTCCAGAAATGGCATTTGTCACTAGCAGATTTAGATGGTCTAAAACTGTAGTCAGCCTTTCCCTTTACTGTTCAAAAGTCTTTTGCAGAAAATGCAGATGCACCAATCTGCCCTCTAAGCAATCCATGTCACATGAGATGATGCAGAAATTTCTTGGGGCATTCACTTAGACTGCCAAATAGCCCAGTATATTTGGAGATTTAATCGGCCCAGGGAGCTAGGGCTTGAATCATTGACATAGTGTCAACTTTGAAGGTTTTCCCCTTACAGACTGATATTTTTGTGATGGTAAATCAGGCCATCTTTTTGTCTCAATTCTTACGTAACCCTTAGTCACTGAATGAGTGTTGCCTCAGACACACTGAGACTTGGGCAATATCTTAATTTAGAAAGGCAGACAGGTGAAATGACTTGCTGTGGGTTATGAAGTTAGTAAGTGTCTAAGACTAGATTTGAACTTGGTTCTTTCTGACTGCAGGTCTAGCACTTTATCCACTGAGACACCCAGCAATCTGTTTGCCTTTCTTTGTATCCCCAGCACTTAGCACAGTGCTTTGAACACAGTTAGCTCGTAATAAATGTTTGGCTTGACAAGACTTTCCATTCAAGGATGTGGAGTACTGGAGATACTGACCTCAGTTTAGAGGCAATAAGCCTTAAGAACAATATACCTGAGAGACTCAGAGAAGATGATCAAGGACAAGGCTGTTCAGAGAAGAGTTCAGAAGAGAAGCAGTTAACAAACAAGTGCTAAGAGAACAGTTCAAAAGGCAGAGCTAACCTCACCTGAGGCTTCTGTACATTGTGAGGCACCTTGCTAATAAAATGGACAGAGCGCTAAGGAATGCTAGCCGAGAGAACTGTAGCCCTTCTTATCAAGGCAAAATTTCCAAAGCACAGCACTTCCAGTAACTCCAGTAGATTGAAGATAGTCTAAGAGGTTGGCACAGTAGGAGGCTTAAGAACAGCAAGAAAAAGCTGCAGTCTCCTCTTCAGGGGAGAGGCTTACTAACCACAGCATTCTTAGTGGATGTTGGACAAAGAGTTAGGTGACTAGAACTGAAGATCAACTTGATCAGAGACCTGACGACAAGCAGGGAGTTGTGGGGAGAAACACCAACACAAAATAACTAAGATGAGACATTGTGGGGTGGAGGGAAGAGGTCCAGCAAAGGGCAGCATATGCTTCTTGGCTTCCCTGGCTTCCTTCAAGTCCCAGCTAAAATCTTCCCTTTTACAGGAAGCCTTTCCTGATCCCCCTTAATGTTAGTGCCTCCCGTCTGTTAAATACCTCCAATTTCCATGTCTTCTTTGTACATAGTTGTCTGCATGTAGTCTCCCCATTAGGGTGTGAGTTCCTTGAGAGCAGGGGCAATGTACCTTTTTTACCTTCAGTGCTTAACACAATACCTGGCACATAGCAGGTGCTTAATAAATGTTGATTGACCTACTGATAGTAAAGAAATTTGTTCAAGGGTCATAAATTGCTCCTTCATGTGACCTGATTACAGGTCCCCCTTCATTTAGGTGCCCAGGTCACATTTGCCTGTATGTGCTGCCCTATACCTCATTTCTTTCTAAATCTACTCATCCCTCTGAATGGGTCTGTATCTATGGGAGATAGCTAAAGATTTACTAGCTGCCTTGGGAAATAGTGAGTTTGCCATCACTGAAGAGTGTTCAAGCCTGGGCTGCATGACTAGTTATCAGATGTAATGTAAAGATTTGACTTCGAGTCTGGGAACTCAAGGCCTCTGAGGTCCCTTCCAGACCTGGGATTTTGAGAAGGAATAAAGGATGTAGCTTTGTACCTACTTTGGGAAATTCAGTACCTGTTAAGTTCCTACTGTGTACAAGGCACTGTGGACAAAGTGGCCTGGGGCCTGTGATTATTGGTATAGGGAACCTCCAGGTGAAAAAAGGACCAAGGCAGGTCAGAACCTCCTTTGCAATTTAGAGTCTTGAAGAATTGTTCAGAGCATTGAGAAGCAAATGACTTGTCCAGGGTCAAACAGCCAGGATGTGTCAGAGATTAGGTTTGAGAATCTAGGTCTTTCTGGCTAGCCACTACTCCAAGCCACCTCCCGATTACACACAAGTTCATTGGAGGACCAGGAAAGAATTAACAGCTAGGGGGTGGAGGGGAATAAAAAAAGCCTTCGGGAGGTGGCCCCTTTAGGAACGAAGGGGGAGGGACACTGCTGCTGTCTCTGTGACGTCTCTAGACCTCTTGTGACCGCCTCAGCTCAGTCGGGGGTAGGGGCAGCGCCCTCTCCCTGCGCACGCAGTCCACAGTCGTCAGTACTTGTTCTCTGAGCCGGGTCTGAGAGAGCAAGCACTTAGGAGGATAAGCCGACTGGGTCCTAGAGAAAGCGAAGTGAGGCAGTAACAGGGTACGGAGGCAGCAGCAGAGATCCTCGAAGGGGGACTGGCTGGGGGCCCGGACTGGTAGATTCAATACGTGGGTCTCTGAAGGGGCTTCTGCGGAATGGGACTCCTGGATCCCTGAGAGCAAGAGCTGGTGGCCGGGGAGCGTGGGTCCTGGAGGGTGGTGGGACAGACAGAGGTGGTGCCCAGGTCTTTGAGGATCTGTACTAGAGGCTAGGATGCCCGTAGGTGGCACCAGGGAAAGACTATGCCCGGATCTAAGAGGAAGCAGGAGTACCCAGATTCTGAGATTCTGAGAGGCTGGACGGCTGGTTCTCGGAGGACTGCACGTTAAAGTTCCTGACCTGCTCCGGTCCAGTTGGATTACACCGTTTTTAGGATCCTCCCCCCAAACACACCGCAGCCCCGAACTCTGGCGGGGGATAGCGCCCAGGTGCTAGAAGCACTGCTCGTGGGCCCACACGCGAGATCGTCTCCAAGGGGGGTTTCCAGCAGGTTCTCGGAGGACCCCAGCTGGTGAGGGGAGTAGCCCGAGCCACAGAGGGGGCGTGACAGGGCACGGGACCGGACGGTTTGCGGGGGGCGTGGCAGTTCTCCCGGTTGGTAGCCTGCCTCTGTGAGGCGTCTCACAGTTGAGGGTCCAAGTGCCAGGGGCCAGGGAAGGAGGAGGAGTCTCGCCTGGGGAGGGGCGGAGACCTGTCTGCAGAGGCGGGGCCTCCGACCTCCGCCCCTCTCCCACACTCAGGCCCCGCCCCACCATGTGGCCGCAGCCCCTGCTGCTCCTGTTCCTGCTCTTGGCAACCACCCCCGAAGACCAAGCTGCACCCATCTCCGTCCTTGAGCATGCCCACGGGCGCAATCACGCCCCAGGGGGTCCCGACACTTCCGAGAGTCCGGAGATGGGTTCCATGGGCCTGCTGGGTATCCACAACCTCCTCCGCAACCTCAACCGCCTCTTCTTTCGGGTAAGCAGAAAGGACGCTGAGGGATGTGGAGGACAAAGCCTGGGAGGTGGATAGAGCCTGGGCTAGGGGATGGTCAGGCAACAAGTAAGTACTGATGAAATGTTTCCGCTAAATGACAGAGGGTCCGAACAATAGAAAGTGAGGGCAGAAGGCAGAGGTGGACGCAAGGGGCAAAAGGATGAGGGAGCAGAAGGACAAAGGCATAGATCTATAGGGATGGTGGACAGGGATGAGGGAAAGGGGTGGGAAGTTGACAGGTGGGGGACAGAAGGATGAAAAACGAAGGGCGAAAGGATGGGGCAAATGCAAAGATGACTCAGCCATGGAGGAGACGGTAGAAGACAGGAATGTAAGGATGAGGTACAAAGGAGGGGGGGGATGTTCAGAGAGAAGGAAAGACAGAAAGACGGGGACAAAGATAGGAGGGCAGAGGGATGAGGCTCAGACAGAGAATGGGGGAAAGATAGAGGACTGGCTAGGGAAGGTGCAGAAAGATCGGAAGTTTGGAGGGACAGAATCAGAAAGAGAGATGATGGGAGAGGAACTCATGAAAGGGAGACTGAGGGGTTGAAGGAGGGGTAATCTCATTCCACTGATTTCCCCGTGGTCTTTAATGAATTCTCTTCCACCTGTCCTTGGCTTCCTATCTTCCTGTCTTCTTGGCTGGGGCTCCCCCAGGAGGATCTGTTTCGGAACATGGACAGCCTCATGACACCTTCGGTGGACTTTAGGAACCTTCCTCCCAATTACCACAATGAGGACCAGAAACAACACCTCTTGAGTAACAGCACTATCTATAGCCACCACCAGATAGACAAGGTCAGCCTCTTTCCCCCTTCTCTGCCTCCCAACCTCATGTCCTGCCCAGCCACCTCTAGCCAGCCAACAATCTTTTCTCCTTCCCACTCTGGCCCAATGCCTTTGACACTCTAACTTTGATCCACTCCCAGCACTGTTAACAGCTGAGAAAGAAATTTGATGGACAGAAAAAGTGTTGGTAAAGGCAATGGGTTTCATTCGCTGCTTGCCCCACCCCCACCCCCCGTACTATACACACATACATACACACAGGTGACTGATAATCGGACCGGAGATATGATGTTTTCGGAGAAGGTGGTGGCTGAAATTGAGCCTTCAGAAGGGAATGTGGAGGATGATTGGAAGGTCAGAGATGCTTTTGTTGCCCAGTAAATTTCAGTGTTGGACCTTTGTGACTTCCAAGGAGAGAGGATTGGGGTGGGGGGCAGGGAGGACTGAAACATTATGTCTTGGGGGGGGGCAAGACTGAGAAACAAGTTCATGCCACTCTCCTGTTCATGCCTCTGTCTCCCCAGTAATCAGGGGTGGGACTGAAAGAAATGGAGTGAAGCAGGAGGGGAAAGGGTCAGGAGCCCTTTTCCTGTGCAAGGGAGAAGTGAGATCAAGGCTAGACCTCCAAGAAGCCTCCCTGCTCCCTTCCTTGCAGCTTGTGAATGCAGGGCCCCAGCTGGTAGGCCCAGGTGGAGGTGGCAGAGGCAGAAATAAGAAGGAGGAAGTTAGACACCAGGGCTAGTGAGTTCACCATCCCAGGAAGTCTCTGAGCAAAGGCTGTGTCCACTTTTCAAGATGATGTCTCTGGGGATTCCTGCTCAGGTAGGGAAGTCACTTTCAGCTCAGAGACCTTGTGGTTCTGTGATTTTAGGAACCTGAAGATGAAGAGAATGAACCACCCCAGCCTCTCCGAAGCAGTGGACTGAGCAGCTCCCATGTCGAAACCCATCCCAGAGTGTCTTTCTGGATCTTCAGGCTGCCCCGTCAGCTGGCCGTGGGGGACAGTCGGGTGGGGAACCGCTGGCTCAGCGAGAAGAGTCACCGGCTTCAGGCTATCCGGGATGGGCTTCGGGAGGGAGCCCACGAGGAAGCCCTCTTACACGTCCGCCCTATGCCTAGCAGGGCCCGTTTTCTCTATCTCCTAAGGCCACCTCGGCAGCTTTAGGCTATGGGGTTGGCCAAGAGGCAGGCTGAGGGCAGTGGCAGAGATGAGAGGGTGCCTGCAGGCATCAGCCCCTCAGTCCCCTTGGAAATAAATAAAAGTTCTATCTTCAGTGAAAATGGCATCATGGCTGTCATCTCCAGCCTCCAGGCTCTGTCTTAGCAAGGCCCTATCTCTTTCATCTTGCATCTCTTCTCTCCTATTCTGTCACTGCAGCCTGAAGGAAAACAAAATTCCTAGATAGCAATCCACAGACTTGGGTTCACATCTCACCAATGCCTTGGGCTAGTTACTTCTCGGATTGTCAGTTTCCTCTTTGGTAAAATTAGCATAAAGAGAGGAAAGTTTCCGCTGGCCAGAAGACACACAAAAACCAAAAGTAGATCTGGGACCCTCCCTCTCAGTCTCTCCAGAAAACAAACCAAAAAAATGACCCCAGGGCAGAGCTACTTGGGGTGGGTCACTGTTCCCTGTCAAAGCCCCGCAGCTCATGATCCTCCACTGACTTTTTGCAAAGTAAACACATTAATTCAAAATAAAATACTCAAGAAAATGGAGGTAGGATACATTCTCCCACAACTTAACTACACCAGTGGTGAAAGATACACAGAGAAGAGGTGAGATCAGGGAACGGGAAGGAAAAGTGTTCTTAGGGAACATACATGAAAAGGCACTTGCCCCAGGATCCCTTAGGGCCAGAGCCATTCTTAACCTGTGGCTTTGCAGGGCTGCCCACTTCCTCTTAGGATGTAACACTCTCTCTGCTAGGTATCTCCCTTCTATGTGCTCAGTTGTATGGTTGTATTTCAGCTCTTGAGGGACAAGAGCTGAACTGCTGGCTCACCTATCTTCAATGCAGTGGTTAGAAAGCCTCTCCTTGACAGGGGCAGGCTGAACTTTCATATATATATATATATATATATATATATATATATATATAGCCCAGGGCTAGAGGCTATTTAAATCACTATAGCTAGCTAAATACAGCCAGTTAGAGCGACCCCTTTCTAAAATCCTCTGTTCTTTAGAATGCCTGTCTGGTGTTAATGTGAAGTTGTCTTAAATTCAAGGTCAGAAAATTCCTCCTTTCTAACCCAAAGGAACAAAAAGAAAGTAAGGTCATTTGCTTTTCTTCCTTCTGACCCAGTAACGCATCTCCTTCTTAGGTAGCACAAAACTTCACTTGCCCTACCTACCTCACAAGGGTATTGGAGGAAGTGTTTTGCAAATCTTGCAATGCGTTAGAAATATGAATTATCTCCAATCCTACTTCCTGCCCATTATAATCTATCATGCCTGCTATCTCGTATCATGGATCGCCAGTACCCTTGGTTGCCTGCTGTTATGTCCCTAGGACAGCCAACCCCTAGGGCCTTGTGAAACACTTTTGCCCTTTTACAGAACAGTTGGTGTCCCACAAGAACAGTGGCATTATCTACTGGCATTAAAGGGTGTGGCTTGGAAAAGCTGTTTGGGGTGCTATAACCGGCTTGACCACCAGATGATGCTCAAAACTAGCTTAGACAGCTCCCGACTGCGTGGGTGCAAAAAATACCTAGCAGTCTTGTCTTCCCAGCCTCTTCTAGTGATTTCTGAGTGGACCATTATGCACAGATATTCCAACAATCACTCATAAATTGATTGACTCATGCCCCATCCAACTAGATCAACTCTTGGGTATGGTCCCAAAGAATTCACTCATTCAGCATATTGGCTAAAATACATTTATCTTGCAATGAAAACAAATATAAAGCTTAATAGTGAGCTCTGAAGAGATTCAGTGTGCCATCTTCTAGTAAAGTTGAGTTTCCAGTTCCCCTTCCCCCCTTATTCTTGACCATATTGAAGTGGAAGACACACAGTACCCTAAGGTTTAAGAGAATATCAATGTTGCTTTTCCAGTACTTTGTGAAAATCCAGTTTATTCTGTAACTTGAAAGGTGTCCTAAAGTCATTTCCCCCTTATCTTGAACCAGTACCAAAAGGATTGCTTTTGTTTCCCTTAGCCTTAGGTTCCCCCTGTCCTCTAATCTTTAACCTGCCATAAAGAATTCCCTTTGTCTCCCTTATCCTGCCTGTGTCATGAGATCTTTTCTTGACCTGTCTCTCTTTAACTCCCATAAAACTTCTAAAATTATCTTGTAAGCAATCATCTTCTTCATCCTGTCCTTATAAAACTGTCCCTGTCCCTCTTTAAGTTGCTAATCCTCTTTCCAGGGCTAGCCCGCTGCTTTTGGGTCAATAAAGCTCCCAGTGGTTACAGAGAAGGTCTAAGGGAATTCTTTCACACCTGAACCAGCTCTCCCAACTCTAAACCTCAACAATATCTATTCACTTTTTCAGGGTAGGAGGATAAGCCTCCCTGATCTAAACATCACAGGAGGAAGGGGAAATTATATTCCCACACTCCAGCTTGCCTGCTCTTGCTTCTCTTGTAGAAATTACACCCAGCTCCTAGCTTACCACTAGGCCATTTTGGTGCTCAGCTCCCTGTCCCAGCAGACCTTTCGATGCTTTGGGGGGCTGGCACCAAGGGGTTCTGGGAGTGCTCACCTGGGGCCATCCTACCCAACCCCCACAGCTTCCTTCACCAAATCTGGTATGGCCAAAGGAACCAGAAAGCTGAGGGAAGATGGAACTGCTCCTTGGAGACCCTAGAATCCGAGCATTCGAAGAGATGAGTGGATGGGGCAGGTCATGGAGGGAATCTTTGTTGAATTGTTGAAACAAAAGCTGGGAAAACTCCATTTATTCCTAAAGGGAGAGTCCTTGGAAATCAGAGACCCATTGGGTGGCTGGGAGTTACTTGAACTGTTTGTTAAAGGGGGCATGGTGTTCCCACCATGGGGATATGTTGCACTTTGAATGGGTCTGGGGGTGGGCGGTGAAAAACTGTGGGACCCTTCTATTCACGGAGCTGAGCAACTCTTGTGTTTTCCAAGGAACACTGCAGGAAACAGTGGGTACACAAGGGTGGGGGGAATCCCCAGCTCCGGGGGGAGCCCCCGCCCCTAAAGCGAAGGGCGGGGGTAATTCTTTCCTGCCTCGCCCCGGGGCTAAGCTTAGCAGCCAAGTCTCCCTTTAAATTCCCTGGCATGTTCTAAAGAATCCCTTGCCCAGGCAAGATGGGGACCCTGCCGGGGACTGAGAAGAAGCGGCGAGGAAAAAGGACGGCCCCAAACGGCCCAATAGAAATTTTTTCCCCGCCCCCCTTTGGGAAGGACAGGGGAAGGAGAAGGAGAGGTTTTGCGCAGGCGCGAGCCTTGGCCGTGACGCATGCGCATGACTTGGCAACGGTTGCTGAGCACACTACTCCTGCGTCTGCGCCCTGCCTCCACCTGGGGGGCGCTCGAAGCGGGAAGCACAATGAACACGGGGCGCATGCGTATGCACGACGGCCGCCGCTTCGACGCCCCAGGCTTGTTGATTCGGGCGGGAAAAGGCCTCGCGCCCGGCACCGGCTTCCACCTTCCGGCCAGTTGTTGAAGCCCAAGCTGGGCGGCAGGGTGAGGGGCGAGCTCCTCACTGTGACTGTCAGAGAGAGGGGGGAGCCGGGGACCCTAAGACCACCAGGGAGAGAGGAAACCCCAAACCTGGCAGAGGGGGGTCCCCAAACTCTGTGAGAAGGGCCCCCAAGCCTGTCGGAGAGGGGAACCCCAGACCTTGTGAGAAAGGGCCCCCAAGCCTGTCGGAGAGGCTTCCAGTCCTGTTATAAAGGGGCCCAAATAGTGTTGGTGAAATCCCCCAGCCTGTTAAGAGACCCCCCAGATCTGGTCAGAGAGAGGCCCCACATTGTCAGAAATGGCCCAAAATGTTGCCAGAGACCTCAAAGACTCTTATGGGTAGATGCCCCCTGCCAGGCCCTGCCAGGACCAGGGTCAGAGAGACCCCCAGCCTCTTAGACTGGGAGTGGCCTCCAGATCCTGACAGGAAGGAACATCCCCTCCCAACCCTCAAGAAAGAGCCCCAGAGAGGCCCCTGAGGTCCCCCCAATCCTGTGGGTGAAAGAACCCCGAGGTCCTTCAGCGCCACCCCCTCCCACGTGAGAGCAAGGCCCAGCCCAGGCCCCAGGCACTGATGGAGAAGGGAGAACAGGCTCTGGATAATGATCTTAACTCAGTTAAGGCCAACAGGCCATAATTAAGATGGTAGATGGGGGTGCAGACCGGGCGTGGGTCGGGGCCTCAGTCTTGGTCTCTGTTCTTAACAGGGAAACTGACCATCATCTGCCCCTGAGCCTGCCAGCCCCTTCCCCTCTCAAGACGCTGGGAAGCGGGGGTCCATGGATATCTTGCAGAGCCAGGGGGCTGACACCCAAGTCCCCAGACCCACCAGCCTGATGCCAGAAAGTAGGTAACTCGTTGTGGCCTCCCAAAGTGGGGCTGGCGGGGGCCTGAGAACCTCTGGAGGTTGGCCCCAGAAGGGACTCATGCCAACAGGTGGTGGGAGACAGCTGGCTCAGCTCCTTGGGGCCTGAGGCAGGGGTGCGGGGTGGGGTGGGGGCATCATAGTGGGCCCTGGGATACAAAGAAGAAACGAAAGAGAATGAAGGGATGAAGCAGCCCACTGTGCTAGGTGAGAAGGGCCAAGCACTAAGGCAGAAGTGTGGGTGTAGGCGAGGGCCAGGATCCAAAAAGGCCCTGTGGAGGAAGGGCACCCAAGCTAGCCTGGAAGGGAGCCGGTAAGCACAGGGGAGGTAAAGGCCTAGAGGTGGGAGATGGAATGATGAGGTCAGGGAACAGGGTAATGTAGTGATCACTTATCCCCTGTTAGATGTGCCCAGTGGTGCCTCTGGAAGCTGTGGGTCCAAGCCAGGGGCTTCTCTCTGAGAACCCTGGCCCTGTCTCTTTTGAGCTGTGCCACCTTGGGCCCATACCTTATTTTAGCTGAACCCCAATTTCCTTCTCAGCCAATTGAAGCATTTTTACTCTTAGGTGAGCAAGTTACTTTCTCTGGGCCTCAGTTTCCTGGCACGTAAATTAAGGAACGACCTCTAATGAGTCTTGGGAAGAAGTCCTTAGGGGATGAATCTGGGGAGTGAGCCAAGGCAAGGGATTCTGTGGGGCCCAGATGCTGGCCATTATCTGGTGTGTATCCAGGTCCTACGTGGAGTCGGAGTGAATGAGCGGGTCCCAG